GTGGAGGGACAGGCTGTCCGCCAGCCGCTGCGCCGCGGCCTCGGCCTCCTCGAGAGCTCGCTCCCGCTCGGTGAGCGCGTCCTCGCGGAGGCGGAGTGCGGACTCCTCTTCGGCGCAGGCGGCCTCGTGCGCCGCCAGCGTTGCCTCCCGGATAGCGATGGCGGTCTCGCGGTCCGCCAGGTCCCTCTCCCTCGCGCGGGCGCGCTCTTCCAGCGCCGTGGCGCGAGCCTCAAGGGCCACTTCGCGCCGCCGGGACGCCGCCTCGTTCTCCGTCGCCCGCCGTTCCCGTGCAGTGGCGGCGTCAAGGACTCCCCGGGCGGCGTCGAGTTTCTTCTCTAGCTCCGCCACCCGGCTCCCGTATTGAAGGCGGAGATCGTCCCGCGCCTCGTTGAGCACGGCGGTGGCGATGAGGGCAGTCTCCCGCTCCTCCTCCACCTCCCTGGCGATCTCCGCCAGCTCCCACCGACGGGCCTCGAGCTCTGAGGCGTGCCGGCGGTATGCCTTGCGGCCCGCCTCCACCATGGCCTCCACCGAGCGCCGCCCCTCTTCGACGCGCGCCCACGCCGCGTCGAGTTCCGCCCGCTCTGCTTGCAGGACCTCCATCTGGGCACCTAACCCGTCCAGCACCGTCGTGTTCGCGGCGGCCAGGGCCTGCAGGAGGGGCTCTGTGTTCAGTGGGGCGGTGGAAGGCAGAGGGGAGAGCTGCCTTGGTGTGGGCGCTGTGCGGCTCGGCCCGCCAATCGACGTGCCGGACTCAGGGGCGTCCCCCGAGGCTGGCTCGTCCCGAACGTCGCCCGAAGGGTCGGGTCCGAGCGGCGCGCCCGCGGCCTCGTCGTGGGTGGCCTCGGAAGTCGTCGTTGCCTCGGGCGGAGTCGGGTCGGGGGCTTGGCAGGCCGCCTGGCGTGCGCGTGTCGCCTCTGCCTCCCGGGCTGACTTCCCGGCCCGGCGGAGTCTGGCCTCCTCCTGAGCGGCCTCCTCAGCCTGGCGAACCCGGACGGCTTCCTGGGCAGCCTCCTCAGCTTCCCGGAGGCGGTCCGCGGCTTCTCGCCGGACAGCTTCCCGCCTCCGGGCCTCCGCGGTCGCTGTCTCCTCGGCCTCAGACTGGCCGGACTTGGAATGGCGAGGGGGGCGCGACGGAATCTCGCTGAAAGCGGAAGAAAAACCAGAAGACAAAAAGAAAACGGGTAAGTGAAAACTCACCTTGGGAGAATGAATACGGCCGCAGTGGGCGCGGGGACGAACCTGCGAGGAGGTCGGCTAAACGACCACCTTGGGGGGGAGATGAGGTTTCCCCGGCATGGTTCGGTCCCCCCATCTTGCGGAGCCGCTTCTTTTTTCGCTCCCCCTCGGGCTGCGACGTCGGCACAGCACCCTCCGGGCGCCTGCTGCTGGCACGCACCGCCCCGCCCCCTCGGGGAGGAGATGGGGAGGGGGTATCCTCCTGTTTCCTCTTCCCCCGGGCGTCGGCAGGGCGGCTGCCCCCCGGGCCCCCATCACGGGGCCCAGAAGCACGACCCCCTCCCGGGGTAGATTGTTCCCCCCTGCGGCTCCCGCCCGCGCCATCGTGGCCTCGAGGAGCCCGCTCCCCTGACGCCCTGACCTCCTGCATGATAGTCAGGATGTTGGCGCGCTCTGGATCGCTGCAGAGGGGGAGGACACCTTGGGGGATGAGGGATGCCTCCACGGAGCTGAGATTCAGCACCTGTTGGACCACCATCTTGAAGTCCTCAGGGGCCCAGTCCCATCTGCCCCCCTGGTGGGTCCTCATGTAGTCCTCGGACCCAGTGTACTCCCAGGCGTCCCGGGCGCGCCGCTGGAGTGGCGCGATCCGGCGACGAAGGTAGTCGCCGAACACCATGGCCCCCGTGAGCCCCTGGGATCGCAGACCCGCCAGGCGGTCAAGAACGGCGTCGTAGCCGTCTCCCAGATCTACCGGCGCCCGCCAGCTGGAGGCCTGCGCCGGGGGCTGGCTCGGAAGTCGGAGGTGCGCTTCGTCGGCGAGAGGGGTGTAGAACCAGTCGCTCTTCCAGTCGTCCCACTTCTTGCGAAGGACGCAGGGAATGTAGCGGTTCAGCACTGGCCCCCGCAGCTGAAAGTAGCAGCCACCGACTACCGACGGTGGCAACACCGGCTGTACGGTGAAGAACCACCGGAACAGCCGAAGAGATGGGCGCACCCTGATGAACATCTCGCATAGGTGCGCGAAGATGGCCAACGTCATTACCGCGTTGGGGGTGAGGTGCGCCATCTGGAGATCATAAAGCTCCAGAACATCCATGAAGAAAGAAGAGAATGGCGGGACCAGCCCTGCCATTACGAAAGAGAGGAAGAAGACGGACCGCCCCGGGTAATGCGGCGCCGGGCGTCCCTCGCCCAGCGCGACCACCTCCCGGCCGGTGGCAGATTCCGGCATGAATCGGCGCGGCAGCCCGGCCTGCCTCTCGCTCACGATGCGGGAAGGCGGCAGCACGCTACCCTCGAGCGGTGCGGAGCCCCGTGCCATGACGCCGGCGGAGGAGGAGCTTGAGAGCGAGCGAGTATGGCAAGGGTAGGGCGCCGGAAACGGAGAGTCAGAGCACAAGTGGCAAAGGCAAAGGGAAGAGTGACGAGAGGAAGGAAACAAATCCCTTCCTTGATGTCTTAGTACCCTTGCCAACGCTATGCCCGGCTCCTCGATCCCCGCGCCCACTACCTCGCCCCCTCGTCTTTCGCGCCCACGCCTCCACTAATCCCGCTCGCCCGTTTGCGGCGCACGAGGCGGATGTGCGGCCGTGGCAGTCGAGATGGGACATATCGTGCGCGCGTTAACTACGCTCGCCGACCGATGCACCGTCATCACATCTCCAGGCGAAACGAACTGGCTCGTCCCGGTTCGCGCGCTACTTAAGTAATGTAGCGGTCTTAAAGAAAGCCGCTCATTATTGTCGGTCGGTTTTTCCTTGCCGATGTGCGCGATTTGCGACCGCTGGGTTTCTGCTGCCTGTAGAGACCGGCCCCATCTGTCACCAGGTCTAAGGAGTGGCGTCACGCCCGAGCGCTTCCCTCGAGGGGGGCGATCGCCCTGGCGTAACGCCGGGGGCTACTGTCGGTGACATGGGACCGGGGGTATCTTGACTAGAGGTTTGGGGCAGCTGCAGTCACCCACGTGGCCTGACCCCCTCGGGGGGGGGGTCGGGCCCGAGGGTGATGTGGCCGCCCCTCCCTCTGTCTCCCCGAGGGGTCGGGCCGCTCCCGTTTCGGCCCCGAGAGCTGGGGCGCCCCGACCCCCTATGGGTTTGGCGCCACGTGTGTGGGTTAGGTGAGCACAGCGGCGCTCACCTAACCGCGTTTATTGCGGGTTGGACGAGCGCCCCACGCCGCATTTAATGCAGCGTAGCACACTCGTTCGGTCCGTGACAGGTCACAGTGTGTGACCGGTCACAGACCGGTCAGATCGCGGGTTAGGTGGCAACAGGCGGCCTGACACACGCCTCGCCCCGTCCCGTCGGAATGATGAGAGCCTCCAGGCACTCGTCCCTAGCCGGAGCCGGCGTGGGAACTCCTGGAGTTGGCACGTCAGCCCCGGCCAGATACATTCCAGGCTTCATCGCAACCATTGCAAGGAAGTCATTGTATGAAGAAGGGCAGACGTGTAGCATGCTAAACTGACACGTGGTGGACAAGAATGACCGGTCTGTGACTGGTCTGACGCCGGTCGCGTCATCGGCAGACAACCGTGCTCCCACGATGCATCTGCTTCCGGTGGAGTGGAGGTAGGTATGACCCATCTCGTCGGATGGTCATTTGGAAAGCAGCCATGGCAAATCTCCGCCCATTAATAAGGGAGTAACAGGGAGATCCCCGGTGTCAGGCGAGTGACGGCGCTGAGCCTCACTCAAGGACAAGTTGTGATTTAACTTCCAGGCGAAGGTGCAAGCTAAGTTTTGGTCAAGATAGGGTAGGTCCCCACCCAAAAGAAAAGTAGGTAGAAGTGGTGCATGTGGTATCCCCTTGAGATATAAAAGGAGGACCTTGCCCACCAAAAAGGAGGAGGAAAGAAAAAAAGAAGAAAAAAGGAGGCTAGAGGGGTTCTGGAGCCTGAACTCTCTGGCTCTCCGGCTCTCTGTAACTCCTTCACACACAGATCCACCAGAACACAGGAGTAGGGTATTACGCTTCTCAGCAGCCCGAACCTGTCTACATCGCCCGTGTCTCGTGCACTTGCTCTCTCGCGAACATTCTCCAGATCGATCGAGGGCGAAGAACCTCACTTAGCGCCCCCGGCCGAACCGGCAAAGGGGGGCCTGCGCGGTCTCCCGGTGAGGAGCTCCACGCTCCGTCAGGGATGATAAGGTTTAGTCCTTCAAAGTTTTAAGACAATTAGATAGCTATTTAATAAATTTTAAGTAAAATCATATTAAAAAAATATATGATTTTGTTTGGGTGCTACCCGCGCAATTGCGCGGGTCACCCAGTTAGTTATGATTATATTTTCAACATTTGCACTATTAAGGGCCCCTTTGAATCGTAGGAATAAAAAAACGGAGGAATAGGAAAAACATAGGATTCTGACAGGAATGTAAGTGTAAAACAGAGGATTACAAAACACAGGAATGATCGTTTGATTGGACCACAGGAAAAACACAGGAATCGGATGAGAGAGATAGACTCAAAGGATTTTTACCAAGAGATTGGACCTCTTGCTAAGTTTCCTCTAAAACCTATATGCAACAAGCCATTCCATAGGAATTTTGTAGGATTTGGAAAATTTCAATCCTTTGAATCAAAGGGCTACGTGGAAAAATTTCCTATAGTATTTCAACCCTATAAAATTCCTTTATAATTCCTTTGATTCAAAGGGGCCCTTATCATTGTTAAAATACTGTATTTTTTTCCTATTTCTCAGTTTTTTTTCATCAAACCCTTATCTCGCGTGAAAATGCCACATCGAAGCCTCCATTTCTTTCTTCTCCCTATTGAGACGCCACACCTTTCTTCCTCTCTCTTTTTTTTCAAGTATTTATTTTTCACACTCCTTTTGTACTCTCCGACCTCGCGGTTTTAAATAGGCGAGGTAAAGGAGGAAGAGTAGGAGGAGGAATCCAGCGGGTCGGGTCTCGTGTATCGCGCCGCCTCGCTTCCTTCCGGCCGCGGCTCGTCACGCTTCTCGGCCTCCTCCGGGAGGTGCGTGTGCTGCTGCTCCACTGCTCTTCTTCTCTGCTTGGATTCATGTCCTGTTCGTGTGGACTCTGCCTTCGCTTCTCCCATTTCTTGGTGATTAATTTGTAGTGGAGGGGAGCGTGTTCTGGGATTTTTGGTTTTCTTGATGAAATCTTTCGGGTTGATTTGGGTGGTTTTTGAGGTGAAAACGATATGCAATGCTTGTTCTTGGATTGGCCCAGTACGAGCTAATCCATCTGATGGTTGTTTTCTGTTCATTCTCCATGGATGGCAGGTAGGATGGTTTCTTTCTTTTTTTTTTCTTTCTGTTTTTGTTTCTTCTCTGATTAGATGTGGATGCATTGGGTGAAATTTTGGCTCTGAATCTCTGATAGAGTGATAGGTCTTGGTGCCGGGATGGTAATTTGGTAGGATTTGTAAACTTTTTTCTGGGTGAGTTCGTCGCACACTGATAAACTTCTGAACTTGAGCTGAATTTCATGTCTCGATCAAGGAGGTTTTGTCTCACGGTCACTGGACTGTATCAAGTTGACTTTTTGAAGGCTTTTTGATTGTGTTCTTGGACGGACAAAAATACAAAAGCTGCAACTCCTTTTTTTCCTTTCTGTGTGTTTGGTTTCTTGTGCGACCATGAACTCATCGAATTCCTGCTTTATTAATATAAGAGGCAAAATTTCTTTCCTTTTTCTTCAGAAAAAAAAATGAACTCATCGAATTTGGATTGCTGAATAGGAAGACAGTGAGATAAGCAGAGAGATTGAGGCGCAGAAGCATCGGCATTGAGCCGAATGGTGTAGAGAGCTCCAGGGATGGATCGCCGGAGCTGGCTATGGCGGCGGAGATCGACGGAGAAGAGCCCGGCCGAGACCGAGAGCTCGGTTTCTTCTCCATCCGAGAGGCTGTCTGATGAACAGGTGAGAAAAAAAAAACAAGTCACTCTCTTTCTTCTTCTCCCTGTATACTGCATTCACATTTCAGAAGTTTATACATATTTGCACAATTTAAAGTCAAACAGTAGGTACTACTTGCAATATTAGAATATCACGATAATTGGGCAGTAATCTTTTCCTACCAATCCAAAGACACGCAGCTCTTCTGCGTGTTCTCGGAAAATAAAGTTCATATTTTTTTTCCGAAATCGCGGTCATTTCCGCATGTTTATCTCACATTTCTCAAACTACCAATGGGTCCAAGGAGCAGGAAAAAGTAACTGGGTAACAGTAAAAGAGGCTCAAATGTTGAAGAATGATAATACCTGTCTAGTGTCTAGGAGTGTTGTGCAAGCATGCTCAAACGAATTGATGATTGTCAATTGACTTTGTGAGCCCTACGCTCCTTCCATTGAACAGATCATGTAACATGTGCAGTACAGAGAAAATAAGGGTCCATCTGATATGGCAAACATGTGAGGTTTCATCCGGTTTCAGATCTGTAGAGGCTGGAAGCTTTGGTAATCTACCACCATGTTGCAGATGTGAACTCTTTAAGATTTGAAGCTCTGATGGCATTAGATAAAGATTTTGATGGAGGATCAGAGTTCCTCTGCATAAAAACAGCTCAGTTCTTCCTGACCAATCCTAGTTGTACCATGTAGGGTACAAGAATTATTCTTTCTGTTTGATGATTCATCCATCCTAGCAGGTTTATTCTCTTGTCTGGTGATATCGCGAAAATCGCGCGTTTGCGACATCCTCGTAGACATCCACATAGCAGCTCCCAATCATACTAGCCACATGACAAAATGAGGGGACTGTAAGATAGATTCAGTTTCCCTTCCTTTGTTTGGTAGGTGACACTGGCAATTAGTCCATGATCATATGTCACAGTTTTTGGGTAGGCCTGTAAACTGAAGGAGAGAATGAGAGAGAGGGGTCCTGTTTGTTTCTATACCGGGAAGGGATTATAGGACAAGCCTTACCTATCCATGGACAACAAGGATGTGATGTTAGTTGGGACTAGCTTTTCTCTGCAGGAATTATGGCTTGCATGAGGGCAAGATGCATTTTCTTTGGTGGCCACTCCATCCATCTCCATGTGCTGCAGCATCACCCTTTGGCCCAACCCAAATGCCTCATAATGTGTCTGCTGGCACAGAGCAATCAAGATGCCTCTCTCTCTCTCTCTCTCTCTCTCTCTCTCACCTCTGTTCATGTGCAACATTTACTTGTGAATTCCTGATCTTTGACCATCAGCTCTACCTGTACCTCCAAAGAAATGTCTGGAATTCTGATGGAGTTGTGCATTTAATTAGGGGTGTCCTATTGTATAGAAGTTAATATGATGATGATTATGGAGTAATGGTGCTCAAAGTCCTAAGAATCCCCTTAATCATTGTGCTTCTCTGAGCATAATGTTGGGAATCATGCAAGAACATGATCTCAGAAAGTACCATGTCGTACTTCACGTGCTCATTTGCTTTTGTCCAGAAAAAAAACAGTATTTAATACTTTGATAATTGATTCTTCCAAATTTTCAGATGCATCCAATAGAGGTTTCTTATTGTTACTTCAGCCACTCCCTTTGTTCTGCAATACTGTTGCATGACTAATAGCTGAAGTTCACAAGAAATTTTGCATGAATAGCCTCCTAATTTTGCACTTTCTAGTCAGGACAATGTTTGATCCTGTTTGTTCTTGGTTAGGATACTCCAAAGAGTTCTCCAAGCTCAGTTCAATCACCGGAGATCTCGTCGAAGGAAGCGCAGGATGACAATGTGAAGGTGAAGGTGTTGAGCGAGAGACTGTCATCTGCAGTTTTGGACATACGTGCAAAAGATGATCTTGTGAAGCAGCATTCAAAAGTTGCGGAGGAAGCTGTTCTAGGTATGATGTTAAACATGACTGAATCGTACAGTTTCAGTACATGAAGCAAAAATTCAAACAAATTATTGTTTTTCGCTGGGCCAAAAAATTTAAGAAATGACTCTGTTTGGACCTGGATATACTGCATATGCATATGCAGATATGTTCCTTGTCTCTTGCTTTTAATTTTTTGTACTGATCATGTGGTCCAAAAGCTCATTTGTAGTTTTATCAATTCCCTGACTTAGAAAAAGAACATTCTTATTCTAAGGTCCTCTCAACCTAATCCTTAAGTTTTATGTACTAATATTTTTTTCACGAATAATGTACTAATGATTTGAAGCAAAAGCTTAATCCCCTAGAAAGAGTTCTTTTTTTAATCTGATCCTAGAAACAGTGTTATTTCTACACATGCATAAATAGAACTGACAACTGACAAGCCAGATCTTCATAACAAAAACCTGCAATTCTCCTACTAGGATGGGAGAAGGCCGAGAAAGAGATAGCATCACTGAAGACCCAGCTGAACGCTGCAACTGCCAAGAACTCAACACTGGAAGACAGAATCGTTCACCTCGACGGCGCCCTCAAGGAATGCGTCAGGCAACTCCGGCGTGCCAAGGAAGAGCTGGATCATGGCATCCAGGACGCGCTAGCGCAGCAGTCGCGAGAATGGGAGTCGGAGAAGGCCGACCTCGAGCTGCGAGTAGTCGAGCTGAAGGCGAAGCTGGAGGCGAAGTCCGAGTTCTCGGTGAACGCTGAAACTGATGCGAGCTCAAGGCTGGCCTCCTTGGAGAAGGAGAACTCTGCTCTCAAGGTTCAGCTGCTGGCCATGTCGGAGGAGGTGGAGCTCAGGACCATCGAGAAGGAGCTGAACAGGAGGGCAGCAGAGACGGCCAGCAAGCAGCAGCTTGAGAGCATCAAGAAGATAGCCAAGCTCGAAGCCGAATGCAGAAGGCTGCAGGTAATGCCATTTCCTCTTTTTTCCCCCAACAGCTCTGCATTTTGGACAGTTCCCGTTCTTTTCTGATCAGAAATTCGCTCCAGTTCAATAAAAAGTACCTCATGGTACTAAATCGTTTTCGATCGTTGGATCTAACAATGTCCACCCTACCTAGCTAGATTTAACGATCGAAAATGATTTAGTACCGCGAGGAACCATGCACCAGGACCGAAGCAAATCTCTTCTGATTAGTACGTAGATTCTACCTTGGTTTCCGTTAGCATGCTTTTCAAACTGCTAAATAATACTTCCTCTGTTTCATAATGTAAGTCATTCTAGCATTGCATTCATATAGATGCTAATGAATCTAGCTACACATATATGTCTAGATTCATTAACATCTATATGAACGTGGGCAATGCTAGAATGACTTACATTATGAAACGGAGGAAGTAGGATATATTTTGCACGAAAACTTTGTATATAGAAGTTACCCTAAAATGTCAAATAAATCTAACCATGCGCTAAGAGATTTCTTGTTTTCCGTGCCCTTACTTAATCTTCATTTTCATTAGTTTCACGTACCAACTCAAGGCCCATGAGTCCGCTAATAACTCTCTCTAACACTAACATCTGTGAGAATTTTTGGCAGGCCAATGCACGGAGAGAACTCAAGCGTGCACCAAGCTCGGTCTACGCCGAGTCAGTCACCGATTGCCAGTCAGACTGCTCGGACTCATGGGCCTCGATTCTGATCACCGAGCTCGATCAATTCAAGAACGACAAGAGCATCACGAGGAGTGCGAGCCTCGCGGCTGCAGACATCGGCATGATGGATGACTTCCTGGAGATGGAGAAGATCGCGTCGGCGAATAGCCCATCCAAGAGCGAGGCCGAGGACGCCGCTAGCGTCCAGCTGGTGAAGCTCGAGGAGAAGATCAAGAGGCTGGCAATGGAGAAGGCGGACAGGGAGAAGGCGCTGCACGAAGCTCAGCGAGAGCTCAGGAACACCCGGCATCGGGCGATGGTGGCAGAGGAGAAATCGGTCGAATTGCAGAGGCAACTGAACCTTGTCAAGGGAGTGAAACATTCCATGGAAACCGAAATGGAAGCCATGGAGAACAGGAGGAATGAACTGGAGGGGAGAATTGAGCTCGCCCATGGCGAGATCACGAGCTTGCTCGACAAGGGCCGCATTCTGGAGGAACGTCTCGAGTCCGAAAAGGCGCTGACGCTGGAGCTGGCTGCTAAGTATCAGCAGATGGATGCACTAGAGGCAGAGAGGAGAGAGCTGCGTGGTCACCTGGAAGCATCACAATCTGAAGCCAAAAATCTCGGTGATAAGATCACTCTTCTAGAGAAGAAGCTGGAGGAGGAGAAGGCGTTTTCAACCCGGCTCGCAGTGAGGTGCCATGGAATCGAAGCTCTGGAAGAGAAGAAGAAGGGTACAGAGCATGAGTTGGAGTCGGCACGAGAGGAAATTGCATCTCTGCAGAAGAAAGTTAGCATCTTGGAACTGAAAATCCAGGAGGAGAGGGCACTGTCTGAGAAACTCGCGACACGGTCTTGTGATCTAGAGGCACTGGGTGTGCAGACAAATGAGCTCAGATCTCAGCTCCAATCTGCAAACTCAGAAATCGCTGGCCTGAATGAGAAGGTTAAGATGCTTGAAGAGGCTGAAGAGAAGCACAAGCCATTGACTGCAGGATTGGAGTCCCAGCTCAGGTTGGCACAGGCTGAAGCCATGCGCCTGAAGGATCATGTCAGTTCGTTGGAGAAGAAGCTGGAAAGCCAGAAGAACTTGTCATCTGCCTACATTACTGCATTGGATGCTTCTGAAGCCCAGAAGAACAAATTCGCCAGTCGGTTTGAGCTCAAAGAGGCGGAAGTGGAGGAATTGCGCAGGAAGATCCGTTTGCTCGAGGAGGAAATTCACAAAGAGAAAGCACAATCTTCTGAACTTGGAGTGCAATGTCAGAATTTGAAAGAGCAATTTACCAGCAGAGCTCTTAGCCAACCAATGAAACCTATGGCAAGTAAAGAACTTCACATTAAAAAGGTGAATTTCATAGTACTAATTGTACATTTATTCAGTGATTTATCATATATATTGCAAAATCAAGCCTTGTGACAAACACTAAAACTTTTAGTTTGTATGCTACTAATGAGATGTCACCACTTTCTGCAGGAGAAAGAGCTAGCTCGTGCAGCAGGGAAACTGGCAGACTGCCAGAAGACAATAGCTTCACTGAACAGGCAACTTAAATCGTTAGCAGATTTTGATGAGTTTGTCCCCGGATTCGAGAACGACAGCGTAATAGCTGAAGGCTGGGAGGAAAATGGTCTGAAACTGTTGAACTCTGCAAATTATCCAGCACAATTGGGATGTTTGGCGGTCAAATGATTGCTGTTGTTGCGAGAAGACTGCCATTGTTTTTTGTTCTGGCTGTCATATGATCACATGGTTGTTGTGATGAGGAGATTGCCAGGATCCTTCTGAAGATGCTATATATATATGGAGATAAGTTAATAGTTTATAGATAAGCAAAATGTTCATACGGAAACGATGTTAATAAAGTTATTCAAGCCTTGAAGGGAACTATGTAAAGATTAATTTTGTTCCCCTTGTACCACTCATGGAAATGGGCAATTTTCTTTTCCTGGCATTAATAGTAGGAAACTGGCGTGCATCAGATTTCCACTAACAACTTTACAACGAAAGAGAGGTGTCTCGCTATCAACAATTACATTATCTACCACTGAAAAAATAATTAGCCGTAAATACGAGCACACGTATCAAATATAGGATACTTAGGTGGGTAGTTCCACCGCAAGGAACTTAACCAGTTCAGCTAAGCTCATTTCACTCCACTAACTACTTCCATGCCATTATCGATTGGAAAAGCTCCATATTTAATCCCTTGACCGCTCGGTCCAAATTTAGTCCTTCACTATGAATTCGTTCAAGGCTTCAGACCATCTTTGAAACAAAGAAAAAACCACATGAATTTGAAACAAAGGAAAAACCATAGTAATACTGATTTTATCCTATCAAACCCTTTAAAACAAAATTGTTTCCTATCCATTCCTTTGAAATTTTTATGGAATGGATCATCCTAGAGCAATTTTAGATAAAAATAAACATGAGGTCTCACCACATGCTTTCCTTTTCATGTAGAATTTTTGGGTTTTTTCTATGTGCTAATCAAAGACAATTTGAAACTTTCCTATGCTTCAGAATCTTATAGGAATTCAATGAGTATGACATTCTATTCTTACTTTTTTTTCTACTCTATGTTTTCTTAATACTGAGTTTTAGAGGGTCGTCATTATTGATCTCTTTCAAACCACCTCATCTTTCGTAGCTTTTGGTGATGTGGCTCCGTGTGACATGACAATCTTAATTAGAAATTTCTTAAATAATATATAGCTTCTTTCAAAAAGAAATAATTTGAGATATGGGAAAGGAAAAGGAGGCAAGGTTTTAGTATTTGTTCAAAAAGAAAAAATTTGAGATATGGGAAAGGAAAAGGAGGCAAGGTTTTAGTATTTGTTCAAGTTTTTGTTTCACTGTCGTTCATTATGGTTGCTATATTCATACCGTTACTATTTGCTCATGTGGACCCAACTCAAGCGCCATGTTACCGTACCCCCAGTTTAGATGTAGGATGAAATGTGGACTGTTCCAAGAGTCAAGGAACTATAATGAACGGTTTTATAGTTGATGGACCAAAATTGGACAAAATGTGCACTTCTCTTATCAATTTATATAGAGTAAGGAAACACTATGATCAAAACTAAACTCTTCAGCTTGATAAGAAAGGACGGACTAGCACACAAAAAAGGGGTGATAATACGCCATTTCTTTTATATTGCTCAGAAGGCATAGTAAAATACTTAATTGGCCCGGCAAGTATTTGAAGAATTGAGAATCCAGATAAGTGCTATTGTTCGAGTTCGAATAAACTCTAATACAAATGATATTCATTGTACAAAATCGAGTGAAGGGCAAAGCACCTTAGTCAAAAAGTCAAAACTGGTCAACACTGACTCCAGTGTTGTGTGTCCTATCTATGCGACTTGCTGCTTCTTGCTTTTCTTTTTCATTCCTTTGCTTTTTTCACCAGATTTTTTTCTCTTTGAGGTGTGCATTTCAGAATCACTGTCATCATGGTCGAGCATTCTAGTTTCGTCTTCATCCATTTCACTCGTTCTATTCTTCTTTTCCTTTCTTTCCTTTCTAACTTCTGCCCCAACTGGATCTGGCTGCTTGGATTTAGTCTCCTCGAGTTCTGAACATCCAACAAGAGCGTAAGTAGATGAACACGTGGAATTCTTCATGAATCAATTCGATATGGCAATGAACTTCGTTTCAAAAAGTTTGAAGAGTAGCACTACATCTTGGGCTTTGGGGTCCTAGGGCTGAAAGATGTAGATTACTATCTTAACTAGCCCTTCTATTCAAGATAATAGAAGCACTGCTCTATTAAGTCTCACTATTATTTAAGGTGATGTGTGCTGGAATTACATTGGTAAACAAAGAACAGTAATAAATGGAATGGTACCTTCAGTGGAGAAATGTGAATCAATAACCACAGCTGTCAGGTGCTGCTTGAGGAAGACCTGTTACGAAACAGGACAGTGAAGAGCATTAGATCGTGCAACTACAAGGATAAAATGTTTAAACCTGGACACAGTTTCAAGTTGCACAAGAATCATGGTACATTATAACTTCACTGTGAAGCACGTAATTTCCGAAGGGAGATATATCTTAATTTTAAATAGAATGCAGCAAACTAGCAAAACAACCACCAAAAGGCAATTAACTAGACAGCAAAAGGGTGGCCAGAAGAAAAATCAATACCAATACCAATACCAATACACTTGCGCATGCCAACCAGTAAAAGAGTACCCCAAGGTTAAGTCTAAAATGTTTGACTAGCCCATGATGTCTTCATGACCACAATAATTCACTTATATGGTATGTCCAAAATGAAGCAATGGCAAATAAAAGCAGAACTGAAACAGTATCTGTTAATTGCATGGAAAATATAGTATTTGAATACTATGAAATTAACTGTTAAACGTACCGCAGAGAGCAGCTGCCTTGTATTTGTGTCCCAGATGCGTAAGTAACTGTCCAGTCCTACAATAGTAAATTGGTTTCCTGAGTTAATGCAAACAGAATAACCTAGACTAGTAAAGGTGTGCAAGACAAATACATGTAACCAATAAATTTGCGCTCAAAATAAATGAATATGAAATAATTGGAAAAATATTTTTTCAAAATATGCAGCCTTACCACAAGATGCTATCAAAGGTAGCTCTGGATGTCTAACTATAGATCTAATACTTCCACTGCATTTACCAGCAAAGCAACCAAGTAGTTTTCCTGGGAAAAGGGTGCAAGCTAAAGTTAATTCTGTAAATAGATACATTAAAAAGAACTAAAAAGTGAATACCGATTGCAAAGTGTAAGGAATTTACATAGAATATAATCTAGAATGTTGTAAGCATACAATAATCAAACATCTTTTGATATCTGATAAGGGACATGAACAAGATATCTTTCTAACGCCTGAATTGAAACCAATTTATCTGGTATTTCAATATCACTCACAGATAGTTTAGTAGTCTCAAATCCCCTGAAAATTTGTTGGCATATTTGCTCAGGTTAGTACAAGAACCATAACAGCACAACTTTATTCATGCTATAGTTGAGGGATGTACACAGGAATCAATTGAGGAGGTGCATTTTTAGCAAGAATATTCAACCGAAGGTTTTGATTCACAGTTGATGTTCCTGGAAACCCACAGAGATGCATATTTGTTTTCTCTGTTCCTCCAAAAAAGTGCATGATGCATAAGCTCATTGCAGAATATTAAGTTAAATTTAAATAAAACTTCTCCAGGCAGTTAAATGTATCCATATAGCACATGATGAACTAACTATGAATCGATCAGGAAAATAAATAAACAACCAATGTTGTACCACCTATGTAAGCATCAGAGCATGGTAGCCAAAAAATAGTACAATGAAATACACATGCCAGAGTGAACTTTAGAGTACGAAAATGAAAAGAGATTTTTATTTGAACTATAGTATACTAGATACAAAATTCAAACTAAGCTACAACTCTGAAAATATAATTCAGAATGTATTTTGACTTCCAAGTGCCATCAGCAAGAATTATCACACACCAGCTACTATCATATAATACCTGTTCTCATGTCAAAGGAAGCAAGGTCCCCTCTTCCTGTACCAATGTAGACAGCATGTCCATTTGGGTCCTCAGCAACTGCCTTGATTGGTGACTCCCTAAAATCAACTGAAATTACAGGCCTTCTTTGGGAAGCAGTGTCATATAAGCGAACCTAACAATCAGAAGAAGCACCACAGGTACAAATATTGAGAAAACCTCATCAATGCAGTGTTATTTTGAAAGATGAAAACTGATGTATGAGAACATCCTATTTAGCATAATCCAGTATCGGTTTCATGATTTATTATACGAGGAAACTATACAGCATGACAACTAACTGGCATGAAAAAACTAATCAATTGCAATCATTCTGCTTTGCCATTATAAAGTTGGATCAGTTTCAATGAGACAACAATACAGAAACAGAGCAGTTTGACCAAACTAGTTGAAAATGGATCTTTTTTGTTAGCATATCAGCAATACCTGATGATTATTTGTGCAGGCTACAATTTTACGATGGTCATCCTTGCACAAAAAAGTTCCAGCAGTGAACCAAGGTGCAGTGAATATCTGAAGACTGTTGCCTCGAGGCTTCAGGTAAAAAAAAGAATGAAGTAGTTAATGCGTGGCAGTCTGCTATAACATCAGATAAAAGTGCAAGTAGACCCAGAAAAAGGATAAAAGGTGTGAGTCAGTGAGTGCTTACAGACTTGGCAGACCATATCTTACTACAAGATGTGATATCCCACAAATTGACTTCTATTCCTTTCCTAAAATGAAATATTATTATTAGCGCCTCAACCTTCATAAAAGCTACTCATGTTTCCAATTGAGTAGTTAGTAATCAGAAGCAATATTTTTTTATAGTACACTTAGATGCTACATAATGAATATAAAGATTATTGTAAACCCACCCTCCGAACATCGCGTAGCTTTCACCAGCATCCACTGAAGAAAATTGCACTGTACCCGAATTGCTCACATCCCATGAGCTTGATGGCCCAACAGCCATGTCCGAGGATGCATTTTCCTTTGCGACAGACTTGACATATGCTTTCCCCTTCTCTGTACAAGCAAGAAATGTGCCTAACCTGACATATGCAATGAATACATCATAAGTATGCCATTATCTACAAAATGAAAGAACACTAAAGCATGGAGACCACAAATGCAGGTGGATTCATAACCCATATCTACATGGCAAATTGAGTGTGCACAATAAATTGCCAAAGAGCATCAAATGAAAATTACATGGATGAGTCCAGCGCATGTCTTCTGAAGAGATGCAGCGTGGCTAAGGGGTCCTCTTCTGCAGAACTATCAGCCGGTGCCGCCCGCCCAGCAGCAGCGTTGACGCCTGCGAGAGTCTCCCCATTCAGTGGATTCAGCAGCTCAACCTACACACAAAACCCACAGCAATAAACAACCAGCACAAAAATGCTCAACGAGTGCTTCAGCTCTCCAAATGCAAACGCGTTGCTCACCACGCCGTTCTTCCGCGCCACGGCCAAAACCTGTAGAAGAAGAGAAGAAGCGAGGAACGCAGTGAGGATCATACTCTGACCAATTACCGCGGGGAGGAATAACGGGAGGTCGCGAACACTCACGGGGTCGACGGCGCGGTCGGCGAGCGAGGCGGCGAGGACGGCGCGGGGCGCGTCGGGCGCGCCCCACGTCTCGACGACCTTGGCGACGCCCGCCGGCTTCGTGCGGGCCTCCACGACTGCGCGGTTGAGGATGAATACCACAAAACATGATCAGCCCTCTCACCGGAGGAGGCAAACCAGCACGCCGCCGCCGCGGCGGCGGCGGCGGCGGGAAGGGTGGGGACGGGCTACCTTTGATGAGGCCGAGGATGTCGGTGGTGAGGGCCCGGAGCGGCGGGCAGCCGGGGCTCTCGACCACGCTCGTCCGCGGCATGCCTTCTTCTCTCCGGCTAGAAGCGGCCGCCGGCGATGGAGGGGGAGGAGGCGGAGGCGGCAACGTCGGGAGGAGTGGAGAAAGGGCGGTGGTTTTTTTAGGGTTTTCGACGTGCGACACGGCGCCCTGTTTCTTGGCCCGCGCGTATTCTAGTCCTGGGCCAGGTTTGGCCCAATGGGCTCTACTGCGGCATCGACAGAATCGATGGCTTTTTCAAAAAAATAAAATTGTATTATATACTTCTTCTCTATGGAAAAAGTGTACCGGAGGTCCTGAACTTGTCACCAAGATACTAAAACGTCCTCCAACCGCAATACCAGATATGGGGGGTCTCCTAAGTATGCAATACCGGTCACCCGAGGTCCCAGGGCAGGATTTCTCCCCGATTTGTCCGACGTGGCAGCGGTTTTGTCCATCGTGGCGCTTTGACCTCGGTCGTCGTTGTTGACTCAGCAGCCCGGTAGTTAGGATATAACGAGGGAAATGTTTGGCGCGGTTTGCTTCTCCCCCAAACACCGAAACCCTAGCGAGCGGGCGGCGGCGGCGGCAGCGATTTGTAGAGCGGCGGCGACTTGGCGAGTGGCGGTACGGAGATGTCGAGCTCGATGAGCGACGGCTCGTCGTCTTCCCATCAGTGGAAGCCTTCTCCCGTGCCTTACCGGGTTGGTCCTCTGGATTACCAACCCGCGGTGATGTGCCGATGCCGATGCCCGGCGAAAGCGGCGAGGTGGATCTCATGGAGCACGGACAACCCTGGGCGCCGATACTACAAGTGTTAACATGCTAGGGTAAGTGAGGGCTTTTGGTTGTTCTGTTGTTGAATTTGGATTTGGACGGTTTGGGATTTGAATGTAGGGTTGTGGTTTCAGGTTGGGGGGTGTGATTTCTGGGCATGGTGTGACGACCCGACTTCCAGTTTCATCAGTGAGCTATTGAATGACTTGCGGGACATGGTGAATTCGTTGAGGAGGGAGAAGGAATTGTTGCATAAGGAAGTTGAAGACAGTCGGGCTAAGGGGGAGCGAGAGAGGAGAGAAATAGATGATGTGAGGGCTATGGTTGCTGTGAAAAAGGAAAAAATTAGAAGCTTGAAGGCTAGGAATCAAAAGTTAGAGAAGGAGAAAAAAATCCTTGTAATCTGTATGCTGTCACGTATTTTTATGCTGTTTGTGGTGTTAGTTGGGAAGGAATGAGACATGTTGATGTGTGGACTGATGTGTGGTGTTAGATGTGTGTTGTCTATATGCTATGTGGACTGAATGGTGTGATCAAGTCTTTCCTTTGATGTGTCAAAATATGTATGTATCAGTTGTGCACTTGTGCTATCCAGTTGGAATTAAATTTGTGAATGAGTGGGTGTTAAGAGCAATATGGAATCTGAAAGAAAATCAGCATGCAATGTGTATCAGGTTGTGCAAATTTTGGTGTTTGTTCAGGGAAACAAAATCAAGCGGTGTATGAAAAATCCATTTGTGTAGTGAATGAAACATGTCAATTTCTGCAGCAAATGTCCATGTCAGCAGGAAATGAAACAAATACAAACAGTGTATGAAACCTGCCAATTTCTGCAGCAAACCTCATGACAATGCAAAATGTGACTCCATATTTGGCTTCCAGCAGTAACAGATAAGCAAACATTCATTGTCTGACATTCAAATACACATAATAAGTGACATAGCTAGCCTAACAGTCTGGCATGACAACATAAATAATTTGTCTTACATCACTGATAAGAGAGCCAAATAGCATGGCATCATAGAGATCACATAGCCAAACATTTTGGCATCACAGATTACTTGGCTAAATAGTCTGCCATTACATCACAAAAGAAGTTCAAATATTGCACTAACATTACTGACAATGGCACATTCAAAGCTTCTTTGCTTCCCAGGGCAGAAGAATAAGTAATCCTCCAGCTCTCTTCTTTGGCTTGTTTTTTGTAGGCTCTTGAGCTGAGACAGTGACAGTTGCCTTGCCAGATGTGAGCCTCACAGACGCAGTAGTAGAGCTGTTTGAATGGGGAACTATTGCTTGAAGATCTACTCTAGCAGATCCACCCTGAGCTGTTGAAACCTTGGCCTTTGCAGCAACCCTGACCACTTCCTGGCTATCCATTGCTGCCTGTAGTGGGAAAGTATGGCAATTAGGTAAAGTTAGCGAAAGTGAAAATAGTGAAAAATTGTTGCCATTTACCTTGCTCTTTGATTGGTTGCTCTTGGAATGTTCTGTGGTGCTTGTTGTAGTAAGGCTGACAGCTTTCCTCTTCCTGCTTTGAGCAGAACTGCCTGGTGTGTTTGATAACACCATCTGTTGACTTGGTGATGGAAGCTACTCAGAACTGCCTAGGTTGCTAGAACTTGCACCATGATGCTTTGCACAGGTAGATTTGTTGTGCCCAATTTGCTTGCAGCTAGTGCATCTAATGACAGTACCATACTTGGACATTTTGGTAGGCTTGGGTGGTTCATGCATCTCCCTCCTCCTTTTAGTTCTTGGCCTTCCTGGCATCTTTATGTATCCAGGAGCATTGAGTGCTTCTCTATCATCCTCCGGCCAAGCACTCATTCCCTCTACTGGCTGAAGGCAGTGCACATGTGTGCTTCTGAAATCATCCACATAGTAACAAGGTGCTATGTACTCATCTAGCTTGTTGGTTCTATAGTAAATGCAAGATATTGCATGAGGGCATGGTAGTCCTGACAGCTGCCAATACCTACAAGAGCATTCCTTTTTGTCCAAATGTATTGTAAACCTATGGTCATGGTGATTAACCTCAAAATTATCACCTCCATTGCAAATTGCATGGCAAAAGGCTGACTCAGCTATGTAAACATTTAGTTTTTTCTCAATCCCTGGCATACAACATTTGTCCACTTTGCACCATTTGATTTCTGATCACTAATCCTAACCATGACCTTTCTCCTAATAGTCTCAAGCATTGTGATGATTGGATAGAATCTAGATTCTAAAATCCATTTGTTGAAAGATTCACACATGTTATTGTTTACTGAGTCACAGTTAGAACCTAACCTGAACCAGGCTCTACTCCAATGCTCAGGGTGTGTGTTCAGTATGGCTTGAGCTCCAGCTTGAGTCACCTGAGCAAGTTTTGCCCTAGCAAGATTGAATAACATCCTGCAGGGAGCCTTTGCACACCTCCAGAACTTTTTCTGGAATTGCTTGTCAGGAAAATGCCTCTTCCAATTGGCATAAATGTGCCTAGCACAGTTCCTGTGCTCAGCCTCAGGTAGGGGTGGAAAAAAAGCTCGGGCTCGTGAGCTCAGCTCAGGCTTGGCTCGAGCTCGCTTAGCTCGGCTCGGCTTGAATGCCAAACGAGCCAAGCCCAAGCCTCCTTTTCAGCTCGTTTCTAAAACAAGCCAAGCCCGAGCTGGCTCGTGAGCCTAGGCCATCATATATTTATATGGATGATTTTATTTTGTAGTGGAGTTATTATTTGTTAATATGTAATTTATCGTCTAGATCTTGATGAATTGAATATATAAAGTTATTTTAATTTTACATGTTGATGATTTGTTATTGCTTTTCTTAATGATTACAAATTATATAGCTTCAACGGAAGGCTTGCAAGCTAGCTCGAGCTGGCTCGAGCCAAGAAACGAGCCAAGCCGAGCTCATGTTTTAGCTCGTTTCCCTAACCGAGAGGAGCCAAGCCAAGCCTAGCTTGTTGCGAGCCATTGCAAGCCGAGCCGAGCTAAGGCTTGGCTCGGCTCGTTTCCACCCCTAGCCTCCAGTGCCCACTTCTCAACAGCATTTAGGATACCCTGTATGGAAATACAAAAAATAAAGGTTCAGTGACATGTGATGGAAATTTACAAGTGAAAAAAGCAGTTTGTAATGATATTATCTTCTGCTGATCTGAAATGAATACCCAGCTTGCCCCTGTCCCCACTTTCAAGTCCCCACAAAGCAAATCAAGAAACCAATCTCATTCCTCATTGTTTTCTTTGGCAACCACTGCCCAAGCAATAGGGTACATTTGGTTGTTAGCATCTCTGCCCATTGCACACAGCAGCTCTCCATTGGTTGCCCTCTTGAAAAAACATCCATCCAGTCCCACAACTTTCCTACAGCCAGCTATGAAACCTTTCTTCAATGCATCCAAGCATATGTAGATTCTCTTAAAGACTGGTGGAACCATGCCAATCTCTCTGTTGATAACCACAGTGCTACCAGGGTTGCTTCTAAGAAGCTCTAGTTGATACCTATACAACTGCTGGTATTGCCCCTTAGTAGCCTCAAACTTTTTCTTTTGCACAAGCCATTTTGCTCTCTTCAACTTAGCCACAGAAGCATCTGCAAACATTTCCTCTTGTACAATAGCTTTCATGTGAGCAAGTAGCCAAGAAGGATTAGCAGCTATGAAGTTTCCATACTTCTCTGCTATTCTAACAGAGGTAACTAGCCTACTATCCCTCCTAGGTGGACAAGCATGCAAATTTTCAAATGTTACTATTTGCCAACTGTTGGACCTAGAATTTTTGGATAGCAAACATACCCAGGGACAGTTATGCCAATCACACTTGGCCCTTACCCTTTGCCCATCATCCTTAATAAAGTTAATCACTTTCTTCTCTGCAAGAGCATATTTTGTAATAGCCTTCTTGAATTGCTTCTTACAGTTGAACTTCATCCCTAGTTCAAACTTAGGCACACCTTCACTCTTCTTGTACCTTGGTTCCTTACTTCTCTTAGTCCTCACCTCCCCATCACTACCAATCTCATCTACTGAGTCCTCCTCATCGCTGTTTGCATAAGGGGTTTCATTCCCTGCATCTTCAACACCACCATGCACACTTGGTTGTCCCCTCTCTAGAAAGAAGTCATCCAGGTTCTCTAGCTGTCCTGCCTTCACCTTCCTCTTGACCTTCTTGTAATGTTTCTCTATCTCAGCAGCCTCTTCATCATCATCTGACTGAGCTTCATCCCCTGGAATATAGTCACTATCTTCATCACTATCAGAAGGTGGATCGTTAGCTATGGGTTCAGTGTCATATGTTGGCTGATTTGGAATGGGTGAACTGTCTGAAGGTTCATGGCTAGCTTTGGGAGCACTGCTAAAAGGTTGATGGCTAACTAGAGGTGCTGATTCAGATTGGTACAAAACTATCCTCCTATCAGTTTCCTCCTCTGCTATTGCTTTACCCTTGTCAACTTCTTTCCCTTTAGATGCATCTACATGTACATCCCCTTTTTCCCCATCTTCTTCACTCTCAACTTCCAATTCCATCTCTACCTCATAAATCACTCTCATCATCAGACTTATCACACAAATCCACAATTTTGGGCTCTTCAACATACATATCTGCCACCTCCAATTCTCCAGTACAATCACACATCAATTTGCAAGCCTTATCATCACAAAGAGCCCTTAGACCTGTTTGCAAATCCCTACCAGGAAACAACCAGTGGAGCATTGTCCCTGACAACATATTGCAATGCTCCTTCAGGTGTCCAAATAACTCCGACAAGGAAATCTTATCCCTATCTACATATGACAAAGCCTCAGATCCACCGCAATACTTCTTCTCACTCCCATCTAACAGAAAAACCCCATTCATATGAAACCTAACCACGAGAGTGTCCAACACGTCCATCCCCTTCATGCTAAACAACATATAAAACTGATTTAGGGTATATTATAATTGACCTACACATGCATACCATGTCCAAATCGAAACTTTTGCACAGAGGTAAGCCTAAATAACCTCTAATCAACTACATACCTAAATAAAAAACTCCCAACTTACATCAAATCCCAGATAAAAAAGGCATCTCACAATATAAAAAATTTCACTTCCCAAATCCCACTGGTACCATGCAAGCACACACAGTTAACTACGAAAGGTAATACCTGCCAGATTCGGATTCCCAATTGGAGGGGTACTCGCCGATGCAACCTCGAGGTCGCCCAAGGTGGCTGCTGGTCGCCGCGCCTAAGCCGCCCCCAGATCCACCTCGAGCTCGAGGTAGTCGACGGTAGAGGCACGCCGGTCACCGCCTCGCCTGCACGACACTCCGCCCGTCCGCCGCAGCCTGCTCCGAATCGCCTTCATCGCTAGCTGCGTCGCCCTCGCCGATCTAGGGTTTCCAGAGGAGGGAGAAGTGAAGTGAATGCCCCTTCAGTGCGCCACGGGTTGTCCTAACTACCGGGCTGCTAAGTCAGCGACGACGACCGAGGTCAAAGCGCCACGGTGGACAAAACCGCTGCCACGTCAGACAAATCGGGGAGAAATCCTGCCCTGGGACCTCGGGTGACCGGTATTGCATACTTAGGGGACCCCCCATATCTGGTATTGCGGTTGGAGGACATTTTCGTATCTCGGTGACAAGTTCAGGGACCTCCGGTACACTTTTTCCTACTTCTATACTCCCTTTTTTTCCACGCTAGTGACTAGTGTGGGACCGTGGGTTCAACACTCTCTTTTTTTTCACGCATATGCTTCCTAAATTATTAAATGGGGACGCGACTACGTAGCACGAAGTCGCTTCGTTGCCTAAACACGCAACTCACTCTTCTCCTAATTAGCATATGTACGAAGGCGCGCCTCTTTCCAAAAAGGGTATCTCGTAGTTACTATTGCAGAGCTAAGTTACTTCTACGATTCAAGTACTTCCTCCGTTTCATATTATAAGACTTATAATATGAAACGGAGGAAGTAATTATTTAAAATGTTTGGATATATTCAATGTTAGACTCGTTTTATCGTATATTTTGAGTACAGCATAATGGTACAAACTAAACTAAAATAACAATGCTAGTGTAGCCAATCTTTAGTTTTGATGATTGGTGGTGTCCTTTGTAGCAATACTGGACGCTATACAGATTCCTCACTTTGATGAAGCAATCGTGTCTCTCCAACAGCACGAAGACACGGATAGACGGCTATAAGATGCGTCGCGCGATAGGAGGAAACCGAGAGCGCTCTTGATTTAACTTTTTCAATTATTAAACATGTGCTTTATGAAAAAGTTTTCTATAGAAATGTTGCTTGAAAAATCATATTAATTTATTTTGAAAAATTTTAAGCATATAATTAATTAATTATGCGCTAATTCACAGTTCCGTTTTATATGTTGAAGGGGAAGGATTCTAACTCCCTTGCTGAACTCAGCCTTTAAAGCCACTCTAAATTTGAATTTTTTAGTTTTTTCATTATAGTTTATTTTTCACCGTTTACTTTTAAATTGCTAAAAGCATATATAAGTCCTATTCATAAAATATTTTTTGTTTGCTGTTTTAAGCCAAACGTTGTGCTTACATTTAGACTCAGCTGGTAATCCTTAGCTAGTTCCCCATGCGAGCATTTTTTTTTTCTTCAGGCCATTCAATTTTTGTTGCATGTTTGTGTTATGCATTTGTTTCAGAATTGAGATAAAAAAATTCAGCAATTTATTTTTTTTTCGCGTTGAGAGAATTTTGATAAAGAAAAAGTGATAGGGCAAAAGGAATTAATGAACCATCCACTGGAATTGTAGGGATAATATATGAACATGTCCCATTGGGGCATTCAACAATCGGCAATGTTCGACAAGACTAACCAGAATATTCAACAAAAGTAACAACACTGAAACCATCAGATGGTAGCAATTGTACACTTGTATGAGACTCTGTTTCTGCTAGCAGAGGAATTTTACAACGATGCAGGAGATGTCGTCTTTGCTTTTCCGGTTCACGGCCTGCTCCGTCAGATGCTTCGCAGCTGCCTGAGCATCCTTGAAGTCCTTGATTTCATCCACCGCCTCTTGGTTGGACATCACCTGGATATGTATGATCTTGAAATTATAATCGTTGCATATGATAAAAGAACGTCGCTAATGCAACTTAGCAGCTCATTAAGGCTGGGAACCCCTCCTCCCCGGCACGCAAAACGGAGCACGTACTATTGCACAATTAATTATGTATTAACTTTTTTTTTGAAAAATGGATTAATATAATTTTTTAAAACAACTTTCGTATAGAAATTTTTTACAAAAAAACACACCGTTTAGCAGTTTGAAAAGCATGCACGTGGAAAACGAGCGAGGTGAGTTGGGAAAACTAGCATAAAAAGAGTAAAGAACTCAACTAAAACAAAAAAAAAAACAATCATGCAATAGTCATAGATGCAGCTTAAGAAAATAGAAAAATCAAGGTTCGCAACTCATGAGTCAGGATGTGCTTATGCATGCCAAATTACATACTTCATTCATCCCAAAATATAAGCATTTTTAGAATAGTGCCAAATCAAACTTTTTAAATGTTGACTATTAATAGCAAAATAATGAAAAAGATCAATCATGTAAATTTGATATTGCTAGATTTATCATTAAACAAACTATCATAATATGCAACTCTTTTTATTTAAAACATATTACTTTTATAGACATTGTTGGTCAAAGTAGCATCTCGAAGACCGTGTAGATATCTAAAAATGCTTATATTTTGGGACGGAGGAAGTAGCTGAAATGTAGGAATAAGCACTTTCACCTGTTAGACAAAACTCAACCTCCAGTACCTCATGTTCAAAATTAAATAATGTAGTGCATGCATGTATGCATATTCTGAGATTTGGTGTGTATATAGAATTAAATAAGGTAGGACATGGTCTCCAGTTTGTTGAGCTTAGGTTAGGTATGCATATAGAATGCAAAACAATAAATTTAGGTGTAATCTATCATGGATGGTTGGTATGAGCTTTATAGGCATCACCTTCCATAATCCATCACTTGCAAGAATTAGAAAATCAGTATTCTCGTCTATAGGTTCCTCCACCACATCTGGCTCTGAGCTGAGGTGCTTCTTTAGGCTCCGGTCTCCAAATGCCCTTGCAACCGCAAGCTGACCATCAACACGCGGTACATCTCCTGCAAGTAAAAAATTTTTGGAATTGAAGCTCGATAGATTGCATCTCATATGTTGTGACAGTAACAGCATAGAAGCAGTTAAGAGTAGGGTCTGTGTACGCCACTGCTGGTAATTACTAATGCAATATTGGCATAGGTATGCTTAGTGTTAGGGTGTATCCTGGACCTAGGATCTGATGCAATGTCAACCAATGAAACGGGCTCAAATAGATGGGCAGTATTGAGGGCCACATGGCTAGTATATAGTCATACAAGGACATAAATCCAAATAAGAAAGCAGTGTGGAACTAAACATTAGATACACTAGATTAGCAAACAAAAAAACCTCAGTAAAAAACATCTATAACTTTAAACTGTTAATTACAATGACTAAACCCCCCCCCAAAAAAAAAAAAAAAGGAAAAAGAGTTGACAAGAAATGGTCATTTACCTGGTAAGTTTGAAACAAAGCCACCTTTTTTCTCGATTGAATGCCGCTCCTTGTTTGGTTCATGATCAACCGAAAGCTGTTTTGCTACACCACTCTTGCTAATAACTGCTCGTGAATCTCCAACATTTGCAACTACTAGGTTCACAGAATTTTCACTGCTTATTAATATGGCAGTAACAGCAGTGGAGCCTCCTCTGCCCAACTCAGCTGCGCTTTCCAATATTTTTGCATCCGTAAGTTGATATGCATTTCGAATTGCAGCTTGTGGGTTGCTCAAGAATTCTGGCTGAGGTTGAAGGAGTCAATAAATAATCAGCACAGTTGTGAATTCAGTTGACTATCTTCAATTGCATAGACATTATCTATATATTTAGGTCACTCCATAGTTATTCCTAGCATGGTTCTTGCAAGTAGATTGTAGAACAAGCACAGATAACACTTGTAAGCGTAACAGAAGTACAACTCTTCTTACCCTGTTTATAGTTTACCATATGCATTATAGATTGACTTGCTCTTTCTGTGTTTTTGAGGATAAGTATAATACCTAAAAGAAAAAGAGTAGTGATGCTGGTGGTAAATCGCCACCCCACTAACTCCGCCTTGTTTTTCTTTTCTCAAAATGCTTCCTACATTTCTTTAATATTATGCAATCTTCATTCCATATATTCTAATTCCATTTTTTTAAACCTTCTAAACTCAGAATTTAACACATAAAAGTACATAGCGAATGGGTTATTTTTACTGTAAGTACAGACACTGTCAGATGCTCCTTAAAACGACAAAAAAAATGAATGACACAACTATTTATTGTGAACAGCATTAGAACTTGGATGGTTCATTTTTATCCATAGTAAATCAAAGGACATGTAGCTAGTAAAAATACAATATTGGAACAATTGACGCATGATGACAAAACAATCTTACTATCTGAGCATGTAGGCAATGCAGCAAGTATTGAGGCTAAGCCTATTAACAGGACATTGAATTTGAAATATTACCTGCTTTAAGATATTATCAAAGAGATGTGAGCGCAGGAAGTCTGGAACAGTGTGGCCCAAATGCCCATCAAATATTGCAAACAGCCCCAGATCATGCTCTCCTTCTTGCCTGTACTCTGCCACTAGATAGTCCTCCATCGGATGATTTGATTTTCCCTTCACAAGATGGTAACCATGCTTGACACGCTTGCCTGACAATTTTGTTTTTCCTTTCCCTGTTTCTGGTCCTGACGAACTAAAAGCATCTTTCACCTGTTAAACAAAACATAATCGTTCGTCAAGCATGTTAAGTTGCTAATAGTACAACACTAAGCAAAGCAAATATATAAGCTTGCGGAAAACATCCAGCACAATGGAGCAAAAAAACAGTTTTCGCTTTTTTGACATTGGTTGCATCACAGCAAGAATAAACACAAAGAAGGTGCATAAGGTAGTCTACCAAAATGAATTTAGTCTGGATTTAGTGATGTGTGTATTCTACATTGAGTAGAGTATAACATTTCAAGATAACTTCTAGTTTCCAGGCTGCAAACTCTAAAACTCCCAAGGAACAACGTCAATCAAACGAGTTCTTGAGTTCCAAAAGCTTTCATAAAAAAGAATATCCAAAAAAATCTAAGCATAAAATAAAATTCATGCTTAACCGGCAAAAGCCGGAGATCGTGTTCTTGAAGTTTTATGGTGAAATGGACCAGATTCCCATAACCAACATATTGAAATGCTTGTCTCTCTACTGGTCTAGACGAGTTATGTTTTGTTTCCTCAGTAGTTATTTTCTCCACTGATACATGTTTCCTGCTTCTGCTAGTAGGAACGAGAAACATGATAACTCCAAGAATCTAACGTCAACACGGAGTTTCATGGCATCGGGACTCATTATGTTTATAGAACCACAAACCATTGGATTGTCGTAATTAAGCAACAGATTTGGCCCAAAATAAATAAATAGACACCATAGCCTAGCATCATTCCAAGATTTTTAAGACATGTTCAGACTTCTAGCCTTCGCCATTTCAAGATCCCCTCAAGCTAATATGAAAAGGAAAAGATTCGACACAACGGTGCACCTAAATATTACCCCAAAAATAGCACAGGAATAGCAAAAAAATAAAAAAAAACAATAAACATGAAAGGGAAATGGAGGCCAAAGGAAGAACAAACAAGAATCCCCATCCTCCAGTCCTCCATTACTCAGTACCTTGTCCTTCATCTTGTGGTAGATTTCCTTGCCAGCCATTGTTTCCCTCTTACAAAACCTCCAATTCCGACTTCTTTAGCCTCAAATTCAACAAGCACCAACCCGGACAGCAGCAGCAGCAGAAAGATGGTCCCTTTCTTGAAAATTCAGAGCCCTCCCTCCCCCTTCTGCACCTCTCTGCACCACAACCAAACTTCCCTTTCTTGGATCAGTCTGAAGCAATCAGCAGTAGTTGTAGGCTTATAATTGAGGGAAGGGGGTTGGTGGGGAGTGGGGCTTGATTGGGTTTGGATGGAGCTGCTTTTGGGAAGAAGATTGGGGGGGAAATGAGGCTCGAGGAAGGAAGGAAGGAGAAAGGGGGACTGGATCTTGGATAGAATCGGTTGACCTGAGAAAGGGGAGATAGGGACAAGGACTGGTCAAGTAGGGACAAGTGAGAAAAAAGGAAAAACAAAAGGTTTTTTTTTCTGTTTTTCTTTTTCTATTCAGGATGGATTTTTCTTTTCATATATCAACTGTGGACAGAGATGCGACAGAACTGACAGATGACCCTGTGAAATTTTCCATCTGAAAATTTGAAGTTTCATGAGAATAACTAAAATCCAGAGTAATTGAATTATGTTTTAATAGCTAGTATTGCCTATTTTCTTATTTCTTTTTTTTCAGAAAGAGAAAGCTTTACTGATGAGAACAAAGTTATTTCAATCGTTGAGAACAAGGCCTTGAATGCAGGTGGGAATATGCTCCCACCATAGTGCACAATGCTTCGTTCTACTAGTCAGCTGCGCTAACTCATGAGTACCCTATTGCAACCTCTTTCGACATGACGATATTTCACCTCTGCTAGCAACTCCTTTGTACTTTGCACATCGGCGATAATGTGGTACCATTGGGATCGGTTCTCTTGGTATGGCTTTAGTGCATTAGCTACAAACAAACAATCAGTCTATTTTTCTTGTTTCGAGTTTTTATACTCTCTCCCCCGCTCTCTGGTCATTATACTTGATGTTCATGTAAGATTTGGATAATTTTTTAAATCTCAACCATCTGAAACGCTTAATTTTCAAAATTAAAAGAGGTGCACTTAAATTACCTCAAAAATATTACCATAATATCATAATTCTTTTCCATCTGAAATTTGAGGTTTCATGAGAATAACTAAATAAATCTAGAGTAATTGAATTACTTCATCCGTTTCACAATGTAAGTCATTCTAGCATTTCCTACATTCATATTGATCTAAATGAATCTAGACATATATATATCTATAGCTACTATTGTCTATTTTCTTATTTCAGATCTTTATACTCTCTCTCTCCGATCTCTAGTCATTATATTTGATTATTGGGCAAATTTTTAAATCTCAACCATTTGAAACACTTAATTTTAGAAAGTAAAAAAGTGCACTTAAATTTACCTAAAATATTATTCATAAATTTATTAGATTTTGTAAAAACTTATTTTGAAATTTCAAAAGTTTGACTAAAGTGTCGAATATTTATGACCGTATGTTATTAAAGCAGTTCGATGATAAATCTAATGATACAAATCTATAGTAAAAAAAAATATGAACCGTCGAACTTTTTCATTGTTTGCTCGTTGCCTTACCAGTCTTTTCGAATTTGAGTTGTAGAACTTAATTTATAATTGATCATGGGTTGTTTCATTATTTTCTTTTTTAAGCCCTCTTAAAATTACTTTCTTGGATGATTTCTCATATAAGAACTAGTTCTCGCTCCTAGTTCTCATGTATCAGAAACTTCTATATGTATTAACTATTTAGTACATCGAGTACATACTATTATATTGTGGATTTTAAAGAGAAAAACACGTGCACAAAGCATTTCCTCATAACCTGTTTTTTTCTATCCCACTACTATACACACGAGTACTACCGCAGGACGACGACGGCCCTACTGCGCAATGACGATGACTAGCGCCGGCTGCGTCGCTAGCTCGCTGCCCCAACCCTCCCTTCCCAGATCCAGCTGGAGGGGGGAGGGAGGCGGCGGCGGCCACCCCATACAACAAAGGAGTTCGCCGGCGATGACGACGTGTTTTTTTTTAAGTTTACATGTTCATTGTTGTTAACTTGCTGTAGATTTGAATCCAATGATTTTGTGTTGCAACTTTACAATGTTTGTGATTGGATTTTGTTTCTTGGATGAGATTTGTGAGAATTTGTGGTTTGTGATTTGAAGCCCCTAGGGACGGGTGGGGTTGGCGAGAAAAAAAATTTTGGCGCTGAGGGTATTTTTACAAGCGGGACTACTGTAGCACCTACAGCGTCTGGAAAGATTCAAACTGCCCCCTGATTTTTGCAGGCAGTGCTTTGGTCCACCTGTAAAAATTAGGGATTTTTACCGTCGTTTAGATATAGACGGAAGGTTTTGCCGCCTGTGAGAACATGTTTTGACCGCCTGAAAAAACATTTTTTTCTAAGTAGTGTCAGTAGCAAATATTTGCCCTCGTTAAATTACTATTGAAAGCGCAGATAGTATTAAGTCTTGCACCCATGGGTGACAGCTTCACCGGTCACCACTACGCCTACTTTTCCCATAGAACCCATTTTTATTCTTGTTAAAAGGTGGCTAGGCATGCAAAACGTCCATAAGTTAATGAAATGATGGGCAATTTACATCTTAAATAGAAGCCGACGACAACCATGATAGCTAAGGTTAGTTGCCACACACGAGATTCTGGTCGAGCTACTTTATATTAATGGGAAATGCACACAAGCACATCAACACACATGTATATAACAATTACATATATCCGTAAATGTGTGTTTTTTTAACGCATTAGATGGATGGAGGGGGCCATGGATAAATTCGTGAACCCCATTGAAACTTCTACACAAAGTGAACTCATGGTCCCATGTGTTCTTAATTGTGGGGATCAGAATTTGAACCGAAAAGGAAGAAAGATATCCGTGTCACCCACGCACAGACGGCTCGAAGCGAAATCCTAGCCACCCGCCGCCGTCCCTCCCACCCTCCTCGATGCCTCGCTGCCACCGGAGCTCACCGCCTGGAAAACCGGGCGACAAGCAAGGATGGCGGTGGCGGGGCCAAAACCCGACGACACTCCATCTACAGCGCGGGGGAAGCGACGCAAAGCTCAGAAAGTTGTCAGTGAACTTCGGCATGGGCGGCGTTGGCCTCAGTAGAAGGCCGACGGCTACGGGCCGACAGCGTCGGCGGCCGCGGGACGCCTGCGTTGGCGGAAGTAAGAGGCCGGTGCTGGAAGCTACGACAGCGGATGAGAAGGAGGTTGACGCAGCCGACTACAGCGGGTAGATGACGACATTTGGAGTAGGAGGCTGACGTGACGTGGTTGGTGATAGAAGCAAGTTGCGGTCAGCAAAGGCCTATGTGACGCAAGCTTGGTGTGTCCGGCGGTGGCAGGAGGCCGGCACGGTGACGAGGTTGAGAGCAGCGAGGCGCAGGCCGGCCAGCGGCAAACTGAGCTGGTACGGTGCATGGCGAGGACAAGGTGGCAGTGATGCGGATGGGCGGCCTGAGATGACGCTAGCAGTCTAGCTGTGGCAGTGACAACGGTGGCCTTGTGAGGTGTGCGTTGCAGGCCTACCATAAGAAGGCCACTTGTGGCGACGACACCATAAGAAGGCCTCGTTGGCAGATTAGTGCGGAGAGGAGATCCATTCTTCTCTCTCGCCCTCCAACCTAACCGTGTGGATGGATTTGGAATGCGTCGGATGTCGAGCTTCTACTCGATGGTCAGCTGGCAGCAAGATGCTGGCGCGGTGGCTGTGCGTCGAAGGAGTGTGGTTGGTGGTGTTCTCTATGACCAGCAGAAGATCTTGACACGAGGAAGTAGGAAGATTACAAACGAAAGCCTAGCCTCTTTGAGCTAGCAAGGGCGACGCTTGCGAGCGCCACTTTTCCCCTTAGGGTATTATTGAGTGATCTCTTTTGCCCCCTGATGGATTCCTCTAGGTGAAATGTCTTGAACCTAGGATGGACGGTGCTGGCATCTCAGTGTCATATCGTTCTTGAAGTCGTCGTTTGGAAAATCCTTTTCCTTCGAGATGTCGTATTACTATCTCATTAGTAGTTCATTAGTAGTGAGGTCTGATTGTAAACGTGTGGTGTGGTTGCTTTTTTTTCCAGGCTATAGCCTCCCAAGGCTATATTCTTGTTTTTTTTTATTGTTCTATCCATACGAAATATCGCACTATACCTATATGTGTTGTTTAAGAAAAATTGAACCAAGTTCACATGAATCAACGGTGCTTCCCAAGCTATAATTAACCCAACTAGATTTAAGTTTAATCATCCCTGCAAAAGAAATATTAAGGTACCATGTTAAAACAAAAGAAACATTAAGGTTAATTACCCGGACTGCCTTAAGGCTTAACGTTGAACCAAACGCGGTTTGGACGAAGTGCTATCACCTCCGTCTGATAGTAAGAGGACAAAAAGAAATGTTTGGCACAAAACGTAAAGGGATATATTTTGTCCGAAAGCATGTGGCTTTTCGAAAGAAAAGTTTGACAAAAACAAAGCGAACTTTTCGCATAGAAAGCTCAAGCGCATGAGCGGATTCACCTATATTTTCAATCCAAAGAACATGTCAAATGCTAGGGATTATAGTATCATTATTTTCTGCTACACATGCATCGATCAATCTTGGAAATGGAGAGAAATACTAGAATTACACGGATGGGATTTGTGTCCAGATCCAGACCACCGGCCTATCCAAATCGTAGTATCTTTGGAACGAGTCTACGCTGCTGAGTGGATTGATTTCGTAAGCGAAATCCCCCAATGGTTTTGCGCAAGTCAAGAGTCGTCGGCTCGTCGCCCGTCAGCAGTAGTTGGGGGAAAGCATGTGACAATGTGATTGACGTACTATCAACGAACAGAATCGCGAACGGTATTCTGGGAGAAAATTTAGATGAAATACGGGCATGTGTGATCATGCATCTAAGTTTTTGACCGGTCATTTTTACATGATTCATGAGAAGGATGTGAATTTGGTGGACAGGTTTTCACAGGATTCGTCTATTTTCTCGGGAGAGTTTTTCAAATGCCCAGATTTCTGCTTCCAGCCGCCGTCCTTAACTCCTTACATATTGTTCAACGTTGATAGAAATCTGAAATGATAAACAAAATGAGTACAACTTCCATATGTCCAAATGAGTAAAACATTGATACTCCCTCCGTTTCGAAATGTTTGACACTGTTGACTTTTAAGCACATATATGACCGTTCGTCTTATTCAAAAACTTTTGTGAAATATGTAAAATTATATGCCTACATAAAAATATATTTAACAATGAATCAAATGATAGGAAAAGAATTAATAATTACTTAAATTTTTTGAATAAGACGAACGGTCAAACATGTGCTAAAAAAGTCAACGGCGTTAAACATTTCGAAACGGATGATGGAGTAGAATGCTAGGTTGTTGACATGAATCAGTTTTTCTTGGTACATATGTTTCTCACGAGAGTTTTCCAAGTGCCGAGATATGAATTAGATTATTCAACATCGACAGAACTCCAGGATAGTTCAGAGATGATAAACAAATAATGAATACAACTTGCATTCGTCGAAACAGACGAGGAGGACACTGACAGGGTGTCATCCTATTGTCGTTCATCGAACAGCACACACACACAGCACACAAACTGAATTTACAATAATGCAGTCAAGCATCAGCAGAACCCTAAAGGAGCATACACACGCCGTCAGCTGTGTTGACTGACTATATAACAGGATTGGATCGGCCTATTTATGTATTGGTCAGAAAGAATCGCTGCGAGAATTGGGGATGATCTTGACGTCAAGAACAGAAGAGAAAACAGCAGCAGCCAGTGGGTAACCGATAGACGACAACAAGATGAGCCGGAGAGTTGGATCATCTGATGAAGGCGTGCCTTCTTGCCCCTCTTTGGTCGACCTGAAGCTGTGGGGACTTCGGCCTCGTCACCTGCTTGGTTGATCTGTGTGCGAAACAACGAGTTCACGTTTGTGAGATGAAACGGAAAGGTCGATGACATTGTAGGCAAAAATCTTGGCCGTTTCTGCTCTTACCTCTGGGGACGAAATGGTCTGTCAAACTTCGGGAGAGGCCGTGCTTGTGGCACCAAGGTCCTCCTGAGCTGCTTCAACGCTTTCTCTTCCTCAATCTTCACATGAAAAGATCACAGCAAGTTAGTTGCCAGAACAGATGAAAATGCATCCAACAATGTAGGGATTTTGAGAAGAAGGCATAAGAAAATAATAACCTTTTGTGCGAATTCATTTTCCTCTCGCAATCTCTTGTAAGTTATTTCCTTTTCCTTCACCTGCACGACAACGAATTGCTCAGTAAATTCAGCCAATTTGGCAGGCTCCTCCAAACCAGATAATAGAACAAGCTTGCTTTGCTGACCATATTGTCAAATTCTGATCTTTGGACCGCCCTTTCATCAACATGTAACTTAAGTGGTTGAACTTCAGTGAGAGGCTTCCTCTCTTTCTCTGGAAGAGGAATGGGATCCCTGCAACAAAATTAACAGTATTAATATGCATCTTATAAGGGAAACCAGGAACTGTTGGGACAAGAGAAACCGTAATGTGAAGGCTTACTCTTTCATTATGGGGTGTGCCTTCACTACTCTCCTCTGGGCCTCTTCCCTCTCCATCCTCTCTCTTTCTTCCATTATCCTCTGTTGCTCCATCTCATGCCTCACCAAACTCTCTAACTGAAAGCCTTCTGGCCTCGTGCATGGTTTTGGTTCAGGCTTCGGTGGTATCTGAAGAGAGAGAAAATGTTAAGGCTAGCAGAATATGAGATGGTCAGCAACCAGGACATGTAATATTCGGTATGTTACTTTGCACGTACCACTGGATAGTCAGTTGTGTAGGGATAAGGATTAGCCTTCGGAATCCTGGCTTTCTCTTCCTGTAATTGCTTTTGCAGCAGTTGTGCAGCTAGCTGCCTCTCTTTCTCATGCCCTCTTTCCTGTAACATGGATAACAAAGTTATTTGCCTGCAACAGATAGGTAAATGCAATGTGTTGGGAAAACAAATAACTTTCATACTGCTTACATCTGTATGTAAATTGAAGGGGTTTGGTATTGTCAATCTGGGCACATCTTTCTTGCTATGATATGAAGATTCTGAGCAAAGAGAGAGCTACAAAATAGAAAAGGACTTAGAAGAAAGGTTTCTGGAAAAAAAATAATGAGCTTACTAGCATGACTTAGAACCCTCACCTTATCAAATAGATCCACAACTGCAGGAGGACCCAAGCGATCATCGGTAGAGAAATGGAATTCCTTGGGGGCTGTTGGTTGAGCCTTTAGATGTGGAAACACACCAATATCACCCTTGCTCTCGAGAATCTGCAAGAAATGATGTTCAGACTGGATGTTTTGAAGCACAATGCAATCAATGTATCAAATGTACAAGCTTCAAGAAGATAAGGAGACCTTTTTGTTCAGTGGCTTTGCCTTGAACTTGGGAGCCTTTTCTAATTCTTCTAGTTCCAATTCCTGAGAACTTTTCACCCTGCAGAAAGATGATGTTAGAGTAATCGAAAATAATCAATAACATAAAATGGCTTGTTTTCTGAATGATGCAAGTGGCAAAGGGAAACCTTGGTGGTCTAGCTCGTAATGCTGTCTCAAGTTGGGGTGGTTTTGGCGCTGTCAAGGTCAGTGGCTTACTGCTCTGACTCTGCAAGATTTGATTAAACTTTCAGTAATGCCAAGAATTTTAATTTTTAGGAGACTAATAAGAAGAAGAATTTACATACTGATATTAGCAACCAGGTTAAGTGAAGGGAGCTTACCCTGATAGTCCCCACGGAAGAAGCTTCGGAACAGGTGTCTGCATGTCGTGTAGCTCTCTCCATCGTTTTAAGATGAAACTCCTGTAGGTGTTGGAAAGGAATAACTGAATCAGCCAAACAAAGCTGTGGAGCTCATAAATTTCTGAATCAGCCAAACAAGACGTACATTAAATTCAGGAAGCTGTGGAGCTTTCCTTGGAAGAGGAGGAAATGAAGGGGCCTCCGCAATCTGAAAGGAGAAGCAAACAAATAGTTAGTCTTCAGATCCTGGATTGAGTAGTTAGTATAATCAAAACCAAAGCAAACAAATTTCTCACTTTTTTGTTAAACGGCCGTGCTCTGAACTTCGGAATTTTGGCTAGCATCTCCTCCTCTAGCTCAGCAGAGCTTTTCACTCTGACAGCACGGACCCTGTGGGAGGTCTGGAACTCAGGTTCCTTTGGCCTTGTTAGCATCAGCTTTGTTCTTCTTTGTAATGCGGTTGCTGCATCCTCCTGCATTGTGCACAAATTGCAATATGTCAAAATTCTTAGTACCAATAATGATTTCGTCGTCAACGGTTCAGATGTAATAACTGTGCAATATTTGATATGCAGATATCAGTATCACAAAAAGGACATCGGTCTTTGTATGGAACCAAATACCCACAACAAGACTGAGAAGACATGTATATTAATAAAATTGGAGAAATGCACACAATTTAAAATTAATAATAAAGGGCACATGAGTGCTAACATGAGAAAGCGATCTGTTGTGAGGGATGGCCAACTCTCTAGTCCCAGACTCGAACTTCTTTACCATCTCTGCTGCCGATATATAGTGAGTCACTTCCTGCACATGGCAGAAACAAAAGTTGCTAAGTGCCAAGCTCACAATAACAAAATCACATTATACTTGCATTCTCACAAGAAACATTACAATTAAGTCTATCATTTAAGAGTCAGAAGAGCAACTTGGGAGCTACCTTGAGAGAGTGTGAATCGTCACGGTGCTTCCTCATGGCCGACAGGCTCATCTCGGTGCTTCCTGCTAGACCACCTCCTCTCCCCTTGTGAGGCAGGGTCCTTGTCTTCACGTTCAGTATCTAACCACGACGGCAAACACAATGTTTCTCAGAAATCTCGCGCAACGCAAACACATGTATTTGAAGTGCCATCTTTAATCTCATCCCAGTATTACCTGTCTTGTCCTCCCATCATCAAGCTTCTGTCTCTTGACAGCTTGATTTTCTTGTGCGATTTCATTCGCAGCAGTAGCGGCCTTCCCAGCCAGCAACTCACGAGGGCATCTGAAAAACCAACAATTCAGACATTAGTAAGAAAATAATCTCCAGATTAATATATTTTTTTATGAGTGAGCATGACTCTTACTTGATCACACTCCTCTTGACGCTCATCGACTGCTTCAAAGCAGATGGATGTGCCCTTGAGCCAGTCAAGGGTGCAAGACCTCTGGAGGAGTTCGTTGCCTGCACCTTCGGAGTGAAGGCTTCTGTCTTCACTGTCAGCTTGGGACAGGTAGGCACCGTAGTGACAGCTTTGACGGGTGGAGGCCTCTGAATCTTCGGTGTGCTAGAAGCAACATCTGCTGCTAAAGCCATGCAACATTGATATCAAAATCCAGGGATCAGAGTTCTTCCCCACTGCCATTGCTCATATATAACTAGCAACTTACATTTTGCATTGGAAGGGACAAACTCGAAGGATTTTGGCGATTCCTTCTCATCCTCCTCTGCTGGTGGCGACTCCAACATTGCATCACTGCCCAAAACAACCAATTAGTCATTCACATGCCAAAACCAGCAAGAAACGGAATGAACCAACAAATTGAGGTCTTGAAATGCACCTTTCTTGGTGCTTATGATCGCCGTCAGTGACACAATTTTCACTGGGATTTGCTTCATGGACCTGAAGAATTCAGGATGTGAGCTGCTAGAAACCCAACACTAGTACTTACTGAAACTGAGAACATAGAAAACATGAAAACATCAAGAAATCACGTACAAGTTTGATGGAGCCGTCCTTATTCTGTTGCACATTCCTGAACATCCAAAAGTGAAGATGAAAAACACACGAGAAATCGATTAACTTCATCAGATCACAACGAATCATCATAAACAATTTCTTTAGTTCTCCAACTCTTACCCATCAGAATTCTGCGAGGGATTGGCGGCGCTTCCTGCTGCCTCCTCCACTGCTACCTCCTATCATGACGAACGCAGAGGCCAACGGACAATAAGAAGGGGGGAGATTTACAGAAATTAGGGCAAAATTGGGGGGTTATTCCCGCAGCTTTCTGCTTCGTACCTTCGGAATCGGCTCCGCGTCGGTGAAGTCGCAGAGGCTCTCGATCTTGACCTCCGCCCTCGACTCCTTGATCCTCGGAGCGAACGCTGCAAGCAGGTAAAAGAAGAAGAGCCCTAATCAGCGCAAAAAAAGCAAAACACGGGAGAGGGGGGGATGATCGAGGCGGCGGGGTGGGGATTGGGGAGCGTACGGGAAGGGGCGTGGCTGGCGGAGGCCTCGAACCAGCGCTCGGCGGCGCGGATTTCCTCCTCCGTCTCGTCGCAGACGAAGTCGAAGAACTTGGGCGCGCAGAACTCGTAGCCCTCGTCCACCAGTAACTGCGGCGGCGGCGCCGCCGCCTCCGGGTTCGCGTCCGTCGCCATCGGTGCTTGGCTGGATAGCGGGCGAGGCTTAGGGTTTCTCTCTCTCTCTCTCTCTCTCTCTCTCTCAAGTGCGTGGTGATGGCGTCGAGCGGAAGAGGAGGAGAAGAAGGTGGTGGTGGTTGGATCGGGGGAAGAGGAGACGAACGTTGGGGGGATAGAGGGGGAGGAGGCTCTAACGGTCGGGAGAGTTTTAAACGGTTTAACAAAGGGAGGTGTGCGGCGCTTGTGTGTGAACGGGTCGGCGGCTCGGAGCCGGCGCGGGGTCGCAACGGCTATTTTTGTGGGGTGTGACTGACATGCTAGGCCCAGGGAGATTAGTGCCACTGTGGGGGAGAGGCGAGTCTTACTAATTACTACTCCTACCTGTCATGTTCTACATTATCTCAAACTGGAGTCAGCTCACATTCTCATTTCGGTAAAAACATTCTCAATCAAATCAAATATTATTCTTATAGCTGAGAAGAAGAATCTTAAGTTTGGTCTGTTTAAATAAATTATCTCCTCTTCGTCCTAATATAAGTGCGGCCTAACATAAATGTGACATTCAAAGACAACGAATGTGCCATATATCTACTTAATTGTACAAAAATACATTAGATTCATCTTTCTATCTCTTCTATATGATAAAAGTTTTACATTGGAGAATAAAAATCTTACATGCCTTATATTTTAGGAGAGGGAGTAACAAGTTAAATTGGAAAAAGTTTAAATAATTTCTTTTTGGAGGAATAATAGTTTTCAAAGCGTGACACAAATATTCCGGTTCTTGCCAGCCTGTTGCCTATTAAACAGGGCCGAACAGATATAGGAGGCCAGATTAATTCATAAATTCTCGGGCATCAGAAAATGGAAAAAAATTGATGTGTTATTAATGTTCCTCAGGTGATATACAGGTACAGTGGGTGCAAAGTTACATTATAAAATGGGTAGAAAATGTGTTATTCACCGCGAACACAAACAAATGAAACAACCGGTAGCAGCACAAGCTGCTGAGAACAGCTAGCAACAAAGAGATTTCTAACCATAGCGTTATGTACACTCAAAATTAATTATACATTGAATCATGACGGGTTTTTTTTTTTTTGTATTGTCTTCAGACGGAGTTAAGATCTTGGGAAACTTGGTTTTGCCACCTGCACCAATGGCATCAACTCACTCTTTGTTGTGGGAAAGCAATAATAAGAAAAGGGAAACAATTTCTCTAAACAAACCTTGTAAGAAGGAACCTCGCCAAAGGGCTTACGGTAGGGGCAGCCAAGGAAGGTGTATTAGCCATTTTCTTGTTACTTGGAGGTTCAGAGGGAGGTTCAGATTTCTTTGCGAAAACTGATGTCGCCGTCTCTTGAAGACTTTGCAGCGAGGACTCCTTCGAGCTGCAAACAAGGAGGTATCATGAGCTACAAGCTGAGCACAGAGGTAAGGTAAGCAGAGGAGAGCACAGGGGTAAGGTAAGCAGAGGAGCGCATAAGAGAGAACACAAGTGAAACTCAGACCTCCCTAGCCGATGGAGCATTCTGCCAATCAGCACCTCACAAGATCCAGGTAGCTCTTTTTCGAGATGCATCAAGGAATCAAGGAATGTATGAACAACTGGTCCGTTAAACTTGTCACCAGTAGCCTGCAGCATGTCATCAATACAGTGAAGAGTTTGGCATGTCTCGAGTTGTACAAAGATCAAACTGATAAAATGTGGTGATGACACAACTCATTCGAGATTGGATTATCCAATATTAAGGTTAAGGCTTCATTCGTTTCAGAATGTTGGCTGAAACTTTCCCCCGTTCACTGTGCGCATGCTTCTCAAATTGCTAAATGAAGTATATAGAAGTTTCTTTAAAAAAATCATATTAATCCATCTTTCAAGTTTGAAATAATTAATGCTCAATTAATCATGTGCTAATGGTTTATCTCGTTTTACATGCAGCTGAGTAGCTAAGCACAAATGTCCTTCAAATTCAACCTAATTCTTATAAAAAAATGTTAAGAGCGTAAATAAATGTGTTTTGGGGCTTATAAAGAATTTTCAAGAAACAAATGTATAATGAGTAGTGTCAATGTAGCAACTAATAGCAAACACAGTAGATTGAAAAGGGAATGAGTTAAATATACTGTACCTCTTTTAGAGAAGGAATTATCAATGACGAGAGTGCAGGTGAAGATACAGAACCAGAAGCTTGAGGAGCTGATTGTCCATCATGTATCTGGCGTGGTTTGCGACCTTTTTCCATGTCAGCATTCTCACTAGGATAAAAAAAAAAGAATCTGTTAAGAAGCGTTACAAGAAATGGACAGAAAAGTTTCCCGAGTACAAAACAAAACTAAAACCAAACTTGCAATACCTTGGGGCATCATGACTGTTTACTGCCGAAATTCTGGGTTCATGTGATTCCTTTTCATGTTTGCTGATAACATGTCTTTCACGAGCATTACCCTTTTTAAACGCAGCCTGGAGAGCAGCCTTTGCCTGCATTAATTACCCAAATATATGAATAAGTATCAACCATTAACCACAATTGAGAAATTTGCCAACAACATTCATGTGCATCACCTCTGCAAGGTTAGTTGCACTGTCCTCCAGTGAAGCATTTGGTGACTTTTCTTGGATTCCCAGTCTCGACCTTGAAGATCGTGGAGTTTCTGGTTCTTCAATTTGATTCCGAACGACTGTCCCACTGATAGACGTGTCTTCATACGAGGAGAATCTACTGGGAGGCTAATAAATAAAATGTATCAGACGCTGTTGCTTACTCCCTCTGATTCCAATATTAAGTAGTTTTAGACTTATGCCAAGAATGAAGGAAACAGCACAGATGACATTATTGCCCTTCATTTACATTACATTGAAAAGACTAGTCATTTATTTGTGAGTACCATTTATTTAGCATCTGTAAATAAAGAATCTATATAACTGAAAATGTTAGTAGTTGTGGTGTCCATTCCCACACCACCCCTACCACTAACATCTGAGCACTACAACAAGTCCTCCCCCATTTCACTATTAGCTTCCCCTATGTTTCAAAATCCTACTTGTTCAATAAGAAAAATAATAGTAGTACTTGGACTAAATAAGTGCTTATAATTGATTTAATAAGCTAGAAACTCAATTTGTTTTCTGTTGCAACGCATGGCCTCTAGGCTAGTAAAAGATGAAAAAGTGCTTAAAAGTACCAAAACAACATACATTTAGAAAAGAATTGTGAAGGCTAAAATGACCTATATTCAGAATCGGATTGGGAGGACATACTTATCTGTCTTGTTTTGGGGGAAAACTATGACATTCATATTAGGAATCTAAAACACACCTTGGAACTGTGGTTAGTAGCTGCAGGGTACACCTGAGATGCTCTTGGCGAGCGCAGTACAACAGTTCCAGACCCACTTATAGATTGGTCATTCTGGAAGATAACCATTAGTTAGAAACAACACTAACAATTAGACAAATAGCATATCTAAAAAAGGTCTTACATCTTCTGTAGAACTCTCTAGTCTTCCATATTCACTTTGTGCATCTCTCTGCGACGGGTTTGTTGAGATCGACTCTTCAGACCCCGTCCATGATGTTCTCCATTGATTTTCTCGATCAGCTGTACGTTTTGGTGTGTTTGGACTATGAGAAGCATCGGATCTACTATCCTTGGTGGAGGTGACTTGTGATGGCTTTAAACCACCTCGAACAGTTCCTGTGCCCTCTGATCTGTCTGGAAGATTCCAGCCAGCAGCTTTCCTAACAGTTCCTTGACTAAAATAGAATCCCAAAAAAATAATAATAATAAGGCACAGGAAGACAAACACGATAACGCTTACAAGTTATTTTCTAAATTCACCTTGAAGGAGAGACTACATCCCTTGTAGCCCTCTCAACCTTGATAGTACCAGTACCATCATCTTCTTCAACATGTGTTCGACCATTTTGTGTGGCATCCGCACTGCTTTTTACTGGAAACTTCGGTCGCTCTCTGCCAATAACAGCAATTGAGGAACAAGGGAATCAGATAGGTGTTGAGATGTCTCAATTATCAGCAAAAGACTGCTTTTAACTCTTCTCTCTGTTATGAACAGAAGTACTATACCACATACCTTATTCTATCCAGAAGCTTTGGAGATTTTCTAGCATTTCTTACAAAGCGGTGCTTAAGAAGATCCTTGGCACTTAGCCTCTGTGAGAAAGTTATAAAGGGAAGGCGTTAAGGGCAAGGACTTAAAACACAATTTTTTGCAGGTTAGACATCAATAATTATCAAATGAGATTGATAAAAAAAGCATAAAGCATTAAAATTTCCCCCAAACATTACAATATGCCAAATTTGTTGGAAAAACGGGCATATGATGTTTTGTCCACAATAGCATGTTAAATATCCAGAAAGCTGTTGTACTGTCCCTGATACTCATTCTGTACAACATATCATAAGATTTTATTTCTGTTCCCCTTCTAGTCACAAATCATGATCTCAACTATGACAGGTGGAAGTCCAAATTTAATTTAGTATCAAAAGGAAAACATCGATACTGTGTATGTTTCACTGTAATCAAGTCCTACGACTAGTCCTAAAGTCAGTCAGGGAGCACGACTTGACTTATGGGCAGAAGATGCAATGGAGTGGAGCAAAGGCAGCAACGGTAAGGCAAATCAGGAAACAGTTGGCATCAACATTCTTGTTTTCATGAATATCTTTGGGAAACAAGAGCAAATGACGTGATTAATGGAACAGGTAGAAGCATGAAAGAAGAATATTACCTCTGCTGGATTCTTCTTTAAACATAGTGACACAAACTCCTTCATCGGTTTAGAGAAATGCTCATCAAGCTGCATTTTTTAAAAATTAATATACTATATTCTAGTGGATCAAAGCAAATGCTTTGCGTATATTGCAATTAAGCATTAAAGAACAGGGATTGAAGATTAACCAAGTGACCTGAGGAGGATTTTCACGAGGTATCATGAAAAGAACTCTCATGGGATGGATATCTGCCAAAGGGGGTTCACCTTTTGCCATTTCAATAGCAGTTATACCTAACGACCAGATATCTGCCTGCATCAGGACACAGACTTGGGTAAAAAGTTCAGTAAGCAGCAAACTGTTTAAAGAAAAACGCACAGCTACCTTTTCATTGTACCCGTCAGAGTTTTGAATAACCTCAGGTGCCATCCAAAAGGGAGTTCCAACAAATGTCTACACAATTCAAAATTAAAAGCCATTAGCAATATTACCTTCCAAAAGCAAAGGTTTGTCCTTGAGCTAAAAACACTACCGAATGATACTAGCAGAACAGGGAGCTTCCATCTTAATTAATACTGATAAGTGCTTATGGCTGTATAATTCAAATTTTGAATTGCGCTAAAGCATAAATAATAATCTTGTGATATGCTTGATTAGATTTATCACCCTCCAAAAGTTTTCCATTTGAGTACAAGTAACGTATGCATATAGCCAAAATATGATTGTAGATGAGTCACTAGGTTCCTGGTGCACATATACAGCAATATCGAGTAACTTGACATTGAAGAATCATGGTTAAGATCGCACCTTTCTCCTTGACATTGTTTTAGTCAGCTGCGCAGAAACACCAAAGTCTGCAACCTATGGAATAAAAATATAAACGTTTGCATAGATATTGTAAGCTAAGAATTAATAACAGAACTCAGGACCATCCTGACAATGGAACATAAAATCATTGAGAAATCGTAGAAAGGTTATACCTTCACATCTCCACTTTCAGTCAGGAGGATATTTGCCGCTGCAAAATATCACAGAATGTGTATATTAGAATGTGTGGTATACTTCACAGGTTCACATTAGTAAAATAGGAAAGAAAATAAATGAGTCAAAGATCATCAATATATCAGGACTAATCAGTAGTCACACAATAGTGGGGTCATTCGTTTATGTTCAATCAAATGCTATGAAAATACTAGCATCAAATGTATTGGTATGTTACTTCTGTGTAGTGAAGAACAATTTAAATGTGCAACCCATACAACTGCCTGCTAACTCTCCATTATCTTTTCATACAGACTCTAATGGTAGACCTATTTGACCCTATTTGACAGTGATCTTCCACATCATTGTACCTGTGGAAGTGTGGAAAGGCATTGCAGACTTTCCAGAACTCAATCTTATGTTTAAGATTATGCAAGGTTTGCTGGGGTTTTGTTCTCCCTCCATATCCACCAGCAACACTAAACTTTTCAATTCATCTAGCGCCAATACTAATGCAATGGCAAATGAAGGTTTTCACCAGCCCTTACATCTTAATCTGCCAGATTTTAATTAAACAACAGCAAATATCTAATTGTTCTGTGTATCTGAGGATTCCCAAGTTAGTGAAAAAGAAACTTCACTTTAATAAAAAAACAGTGAGTGACGATTTATCTTGATAGAAAATAATAGGTGTAAGTATGCAACGTAACAATAGTGGATGGGGTGAGAAAGAGGTGTCGCCTCTTGAACCACATCCTACTAAACCATCCAACTTAAAGATGGGATAAATCAAGAATAATAGTATAATACTAGTAACATGATATAATTGACCTTTATCAACATCTTTTGAGTTCTGACAATAAAGATAAATGTGCAATTGGTATTAACGCATTAGTTCTCAAAGAAAGGAGTGTTAGCCCTGTCCAGAAAGCCTCCTTTATAATGGTTTTGTGGATATTGTACTTGGTGGACAGGACAGTAGATATGAGGGTTATCTGGCCCGTAGTTATTAGGAACACAGCACAACCAACCAGGGGTTGAGGTACTGCAGTCAGAATATACCAGTATGATAACAAATGCTGTACAAAGGGAGGTATAGACTGTAGAGTTCTTCAGGACATGTTACATGGCCCCAATTTTTCCAGTTTGATGACCCAAATGCTTTATTAAATGCTCATATTCAATATAAATCCAGCAATAAAAAGGGAAAGGGAGAGAAATAATCAAGACCTTTAATGTCACGGTGAATCTTTCCTTCTGAATGAAGATATTCAACTGCATGTAACAAGTCCCTCAGAATGCATGCAATAGACAATTCATCTAGAGGAGGGCCAGTTTGGAGCTACAGATGAAAACAGAAATCATACCAACTTCAAATTTTGAACCAATTGAATGATTCTTGAAACTGAAATGATTTATTAACTTGTATGTAGATAATATAAGATTTTGCCGTGTCAAATAAAATATAAAAAATAAACACATACTAGGTCAGCGACAGAACCACCAGCCATATATTCCATTACTATCCACAGTTTCGTTTGATGAAGATATGAGCCATAATAGTCAGTTATATATGGACAACGGCATTGTGACAAAACAGATATCTCCTGCAACATGAAATTAATCCTATTAGGAATTAGGAAATAAATTATCCACATTCAATTTGATCTCATCATATCCTGTAATTGATACAGCGTATAAGGCGAAAGAACAACCTTTTGGATGTCTTCAATGTCATCCTCACTGCATAGAATTAAAGGACATATAAGTAACTAATATAAAATTCTGGTAGTGTAGAAAACTATATCAAAAGAACCAGGCAAATCTAAAAGAGCAAACAGAATACACCACTTTGTTACTGGTACAAGAAATATATTAGCACCAGTACACAATACACCTTTTCTTCTTGCAATAAGCCAATAAAAAAAGGATATCATGATTGCAAATGGCAAGAAACATGTTGGCTTATATGCCATAAAACCTGATATAATATGGTAAATAAGGAGTCAGAGGGAACTTCAGTGAAGAGACTCACGCTTCTTCTAAATCGATAACTTTTATTGCAACTTCCTTATGCAGTTCCTTGTCAAACCTATAGAATAAATGACAAGAAAACATAAAGTAAGAACTGAACTTTACTGTCACAGAAAAAGAGGTTAGATTAGAAGAAAGGTCATGGAGAAAATATAAGGTAAATCTTTAATCTTTAAAAAAGCCATGCACAAAATGAGGCATGAGTTAGAGCATCATCATCACATTCACTCCTGATCGTTGGATTCGAACACAACAATTGGGAGTGCAGAAAGAAATGTACTCAACAAATCCTATGTAACGACTATAAAAATATGTCAGTAAATCAAACATCCTATAAGCTAGTACTTTCTATAAAAACGAGAAAACTAAAGTTCCAAGTATATTGTGTGATTGAAACTTTCCACGCTAAATTGCACAAACAAATTACATCAGCAAGGCATGGAATTGATCCCGGTATCAACTGATATGTGGAAGAGATAAAGATTTAAGTGCATCTCAGATGTAACCCTCTATGTGTGCACTGTGGTACCAACACAAGTTTCTTACTTTGAGATGCTTACAACTCAGGAAAGAGATTTTTTTTTAGTTCGTCCCATACCAGATTTATGTACTTAAATTAAATAGCATATAAACTTGGCCACATACCTATCTTAGCCCAAGCATCATGCGAATAACAAATTTTTCAGGATAATCCATATGATATTTGGCATAAGTATCATGGAGATCTGTGTCTCAAACAATAATAATCAGTGTTGTATAAGTCGGAATACTGGTGTCCAACGGGCAAGGTACCACTAAGCAATTAGTCATAATACAGATAATTATTCGGAATTATACCGAAATTTAACATTCATCTATACTCCTTTAAAAGAAGAGGAGTGGTGGTGGCAGTGAATATGCCACCCCATCTACTCCGATTGTAAATTTTGCAAATTACCCCCTTGAATACCCCTTGGACTTCTTAATATTAGAAAAATCAAATCTAAACGGATAGTCACATATAAAATCAAATTAACGTCAGTATTCCCTCAGCAAAAAGTTGGGTAGCACATTTCATAGAAAATATATATTTATTTTAGGGAAAATTATAGTTTATTTTATTTTATTTATAGCAAAGCACAGGTATTTATCTAGTACAAATAAAAATATATATGTGCCCAGTTGTTCATTTTTGGAGATATTTAAAAACATTGGGTTGAACTATACATTTGTACGGTGACAAATCAAATAAGGAAATATCATCTTTAATATGTAACTAATGATGGTTTCAGTAGGTAGACATGTGGATCATACATTAGCTTTGCAACCTTCTCAACTGCAAAATTCATAAACAAGTGTCTGCTACACATCATGCTATCATCGCATACTAGCATACAAAGTGGAAACTCAAAAGCAGCACCATATACCTGAAACAAAGTGCAAACTAGACATGGAAGCAACGTATCTGCAAGCATGAACTTAATTGGGCCAACTGCAAGCTACGGGCACATGCAAACTAGAGAAGATTTGTTGGTATTAACACAAGATTGAGCAGCTCAATCAGATAATTAACCATTAATTGACCAATTAATCGGTCCAGCCAGTCGTTTTAACGTTTGTATAGCAAAAAACCATACCCAGTTACATGTATGTGATACTTTCCTTTCCGTGTACATATAAACGGATGATTATACAGCCGGATCATAATAACACATAGTCATGATACAGATTAGTATACCTAAGCTATCTAGTCTAGTTCCTCGTTACTAATAAGATTCTGACCAGTTTTACCACCAGAAAATACAAACTTTCCACGAGGCTGGAAAAAAAAAACAAGTTCCGGTCAAGTGGAAGGAACTGCCGTAGCATATTCCCTACGCGGACATCTTTTTGCACCAGATATAAACCACAAAATCAAGGTATAGAACTCATGGCACGAACCCTGCCACTCAGCTAACACGGAGAAATTAAAACAGATTTATCTCATTAAGGCACTAAACTAGCATTTCTTTTGTTTCCCTGCCACACACTCGAACCGCATACCTTTCCTCGCAGATCCTGATCGAACAACCAATGGCACCTAACTAGCCGCGACACCCAAATTCCCCCCCATGAAATGCGGAGAAATGCAGAATGCTACACCGTCTCGAAGCACCCCAACGCTCGAAACGCCCAATGCCGCTCGCCCCGAGAGCGAAACAAGACGCCACCGTCGCCCCTCCCCACCTCCTCCCCCCAACACACATCATCGTCCCGAAATCCGCGAGCGTGAAACACGAGAGAGAGAGGGAGAGGAAGGTAAATCCGCGAACCAACCCTTTGTAGACGTCGCCGAAGGAGCCGCGGCCGATGAGGTCGCGGCCGCTGAACCGCGCCTCGATGGCGGCGGCCATGGACGCGGAGTCCGACATCCTAAGATCTGCACCCCCGCCGCCGCCGCCGCCTCCTCCCGCCGGGGCTAGGGTTTTGGGGGGGCGGAAGGCGGAGGAGGAGGAGGAGATCGAGGGATTTGGCGTCCTCGTCGGCGGCGGTTGGCGCTAGGGCTTGGATTGGATTCGGGGAGGGTGGTGGTGGCGTGGAGCTTGCGGGTTACGCGCTACTCTCTCCGCCCCATTTCCGTCTCGCGTCGCGCTTGGTTTGCTGTTGTTTGTTCATCTGGGGGGCTGGACGCGCGCCGGGGGGGGGGGGGGGGGGGGGGGCCGCGTGGGAGATCTGGAAGACTGGTAGGGTGTGGCCACGGGGATCGGGGGCAGGGAGGGAGGCACCGGGGAGTAGGGACGGCCTAATGTTATACGGGACTCTTGTGGCAAATGAAATGGGCTCCTCCCATGTTGATTTTGGATAAGTTAATTTTACAGGTGTTTCACTCCCTTATCTAATGTTTTCATTTTCATTTAAAAATATATATGTTTGCTAATTTTACATATTTGGAATATCCTATGTCCTCTTTTCTTCAACTTCGGTTTCCCACTTCCACCGCTTAAAGCTTGATGGATAAAGTGGCGGTCTCTCCTAATTATGTTTGTCCATCATGCCTACTAGCAACTCAGCAATAAAATGCGTCAAAAAAGAAGTAAGTCAAACTCATGAGCCACAAGAGCATTGGTGAAGATAAATGGAGCTCGAGCTTGAGATGGCACTCTAGGCAATGCAAATAGAGATCGAGCTCAGGGTCGTATCGATGTCGTTAATCTTAGTGCATGGAGCGGATTTGGAGGACAGATGAGTAGAAATGTAAGATGGCAATGACAAGCTCATGAAGAAGCATGAGCAATGTGGTGCAACCATCTCTAACTCCAACTAAACAGATATGGGTGGGTGGATAGCGCCGATGTCTCATGTGGAGGCGAGTAGGATGGCAGCAACCTTTTTCGAACTCCAACCAGCTGGATCTAAGAATTAAATAGGAACAACATGGCAACACCATAATTTGTGGAGACTCTCGGCTGCAAAATTCGAGAACCGTCGTTGCTTTCCTCTATGGAGAAGCTTGAGCTCAAGCCTTGGGTGGCACTGGCAGAGACGCTCGAGCTACAAGTATGGTATAGGTAGATCTTGAACTTGATCTTAGGGGAGGTGATGAGTAGATTAAACTTGATCTTAGGGGAGGTGATGAGATGTAAATGATGGTGGTGGTGCTGCATAATTGGAGTTAGAGAAGAGAGATGGATTAAGGATGATCATAGTATAAAATTGACAAACATACACAGCTTGAAGTAATATCGTTAAATATGGGTGGTTCAAAATGAACATTGGTAAAAATACCATAATCAACCAAACCTAAGGGGAATTAGAGGTGACTTTGACTCAAACTACCTCTTGCAAATTTACAACTTACACTTGCAGTATAAAAGTTCGATATTAGATGGAGGCTCTAAAAAATTATTCAATGTGTATATTAGTATATTTTAAACATTAGCATACCAGGAGGCATAGGTGGCTTGCCCCCCGAAAGTGCTTGTACAAAAATCCATTAAAATTATATGAAGAAGATTGGCTAGCTCGATCGGTGGTTTGGTTTAAAAATGCTCTAGTAACAACATTTCCTTTAATCAAATTAAGATTTGTTGATTTTTTGACTGGATCGGTTCTTTAGCTCCTTTCTGAATTTGGTCTCAACTAATTGTATAGAAAAAAAAATGAACCAAACTAAACCATTTCAAGCAAAGGTAAAGAAAAAGTGAAGCTGACTTATCATCAACCCCTTTAGATACTGAGTAGTTGGATTGAATTTTGAATTGTACAATGGTCCTCCTTTTGTGGCTGGACATAAATTGCACCTTCAATGATGGATTTCTATTTTCCAATCCATCCTATAAGGTGGTAAGCAAACAACAATTCCAAATACAAGTTGAGATGGACTCAAAAGCTAAGATGTGATTACATGACTTCATGTCTATATATCGTGGTTGTGCATCTAGCTTATAAAGATTCAAATCCGATTTACCACCGGTATATATCAATAATCTTTGAGTAATTACACAAATGCATGTTTGGTAGGTGAGTACATGTGCCTCAAACAATATTTAAATGTGTGTAAATTACACGCACGACACATACGTGCGTGTATATCGTACAACAGCGTTAATGTGATTACAACCGTATAAAATAACTCCCTCTCAAGGGAAAAAGAGTTGAGGAGATACAACAAACTTAAGGCACCTTTGGATTAAAGAATTTTCATATGAATTTTGAGAATCCAAATCCTTAGAATTTTTTCTTATCTAGGTTGTTAACGTAAGATTGAAGTATGGAAATTCCTTTGAATCACATTCCTATACGTTAATTCCATATGAATTTAACCCATGACCTCAAACCTCATTTTTATTTTTTCCTTTGATTGCTTTTCTTTTTCTAATCTCAGCTTTCCTAGTATAAACATATCCTCTACTTTTTCTTTGTGATGTTTTCTCTTCCACATCTTGTGTAGCTGCAAGACGCGGGAGATGGGCCCCGGCTGCGGACGGGGTGCCGGAATGAACGAGCGAGCGTGGGCCCCGGCCGCGGACGGGGTGCCGGAATGAACGAGCGAGCGTAGGTGAGTGCCGATGACTACCACTAGTGGAGCTCTTATTGGCTGTGGTGGAAGAGTAACATGAGGGATTGTGGCCACCACCATCCACACTAAAGTCGTCGCCCTATTTGACCGAGAAGCTAGTTAGCACGGTGAAAAGTAGCAACTTGATCGATCAGTCACCTACACCCACACTAGAAGAAGAATGGCAAGAACGAGTGAGCTATATATGTGGGAAGGCGAGAGCCACGATGCCGGCCATCACGACAGTGTGGGGGGATACAGGTGTGACGTTGGGCAAGGCGGCGTGGTGATTGGGTTTGGGTTTGAGGCCGCCCCGGTGTTGACAGCAATGACGGAGGTCGGGATCGACTGGAGCGACATTGAACTGCCAGCTGGGACGACCGGTGTCGGTGTGAGAGGGCGGGCGTCCAACGTCGATCTACTGAAGCCGAGGCAACGATTTTTTTTTTTTCGTACGCCAGAGGAGCGAAGAGGATGGCGCACATCAGGGGCACCCATCTTGTGTGCGCCACATGTGGATCTGGCACAAGGGCGAAGTGAGACGAAGCACATGGGATCAAATGGGGGTGATGTGGGACCCACAAAACATGTTTTTAATCGCTAGTACTGGCTGCATGCAAGTTGTTTGACATGTGAAGTTGTGCTACCGCCCGGTGCCAGATTTATAGCTCGCTCTCTTCTCTTTCCTTAATTATCTCCCCCTCCACCTAGGAATATGATGACATTAAAGTTTTTGGAGCCTGCTGATTCATCTTATTGTATATGCTCTTAAGAAGTCAATTGCGTCTTCTCTCTGTCTCTCTCTCCTTTAGAATCAATCCAAATTCAAATATTATTTTTCTGTTAGTCATTCAAACACATCATCTTTTGAATTATCAGGTGTTATCAACAACTATTGTTCCTGCAACAGTTGAAAAATAGCTATAACCTACCACGGTGTTCAATTGATGCAGTCGCAACAACAATCCCGGTCGATCAAGCCCACAATGTTTTAGATTCTTATGAGATTCGCTAGCAAACTACTCCCTCCATCCCAAAATAAACTAACCTCATAATAGAATATGACGCATCCTAGTATAAATGAACATGATGTCTCACGTCCTAGTACGAAGTTGGTTTATTTTGGGACAGAGGGAGTAGCATTTAAATTCAATGCTTATTTTATTTTTAAATCTAGCGTAGTCATCAAATCCATAGTAGTCAAATCAAATGCTACATAACCTGAATTCAACGATCAACGACATACATAGGAGTAAGTACCAGTACCAGAGCTCTTCGACCGTCTGCCTAAGCCTAACACACATGACACATGGACACCGAACACAACCGTAGTTCACTGCAAAGGTAGCACTACTGGTAGGCTAGTAGCAAAGCTGATGAGAGCAGCGGCCGCAGATTCACAGCACGATGGGGTCGGACGACTGCGAGCCCTTCCCTCCCACGCGCCTGAACCTCTTCGCCTGCACGCAGCTCCGGCTGCTCCGCCGCACCGCGCCGCCGCCGCCGCCTGATCCCTTCGCCGCCCCGTCCTCCTCCTCCCGCCGCCGCCGCCGCCGCCACTTCTGCTCCTCCTCCTCCTCCTCCTCCTCATCCTGCTGCTGCTGCTCATCAGACCGCTCCTTCGGCGGCACGGCGTCGTCGTCGTCGGCGTCGCCGCGCACGATCCCCGGAGCCTCCGCGTCCCCCGTGCCATGCGGCGCTTCCTGCTCGCGCGGTGGCATCACAGCCAGGGGAGGGATCACCGCGATCACCTGGGGCTGGGGCTGTGGCGCGGCGTCGCCTCGCTTAAGCGGCGGAGCAGGAGGGGAGGCCTCGATGAGACCGCGGATCCTGGACAGGGACGTCGCCAGCTCGGCGGGGAGGCGGTGTTGCTCCAGAAACCGCGCGACGGTCGGGAGCTCCTCCCTGACGCCCTCCACCTGCATGAACCGATCCAATCGATCACAACAACGAAACGCACGATGCAATCACCCGAACTGAACCGCGATGACACGCTCACGTCAATGTGACAGCTTCCTCAGCACGAGTGTTAGGGAGATGGATTCTAATCTAATCACTCGGTGCATGTCCACACGTTTATTATACGTTAGCTATATGACTATGATTTTTTTAAAAAAAATGACAAGATAGATTGATAACAAACATGCCAGCAAATTCGACTTCTGTAAGTTGTAACAATGATAACAAAGTTAATTGCGAATATATCTATACTAATTAAAATTTAATTTGCTACTTTTATTACAATTTAAATAAGTAAAATTTGAGCTTGCATATTTGTAGGATAACATATTATTACATATGAATCTACCTTGTTATTTTTTTTTTAATTTTTTTATAACCATTTAGTTGATAGTATGTAGCAAAAGGGTAGATGTCCACCTAAGTGATTAAAAGTGTTTCACCGACAGGTAGTTTTACCACGGATATCAGGCTGAGCCCAAGGGAAGCTCGCGCCATGGTCGCCGGAGTGAAAACATCTGCGGCGGCGGCGGCGGCGGCATCTGCTGTATGACCATGATCACCACCATCTGCAGCGTTGATCAGCTGCTGGAACCGTTCGATCTCTGAAGCGTACATCAGGCTCCAGTCCACTGCCGGGTTCCACAGCTGCCGCTGGAACGCGGGGACATCGTTGAGCGGGCGATGCTGTTCTTGCCCAAACTGGCGAGCGAACCGGTCCGGGGCGTAGATTTCCTTGAGGTTGAAGCTGACCAGCCATGTTCTGGAGAAGCAGAGGTTATCCGGAGCAGCGCAATGCTTCGGAATGGATGCAGGATCAACGCCCTTGTAGGGCTCCCAGTTGACCTGAAGTTGTTGTTCATATCATCATATGGTCTCAAATCAAATGGCAAGGGAAAGGATGAAATGCTGAACACAAAACTGTGGTGATGACTGATGAGAATCACAACTCAGATGGATAGACTTTTACATCAGAAACTTGAAGCAGGCCGAAGGCTTTCCTGATGTCTGAAACGTTCTTGGCCGGTTGAGAGATCGTGCTCCCTGTCCACTTGAGTACTCGTGGGAAGATGTGTTCTGGAGGATCATACATGTCAGGGCGCAATGCCGGAATATACTCATATATCCAGCCCTACAGACAGATATTCAGAATATATCAGAACATTTTCGCAATGGACACAGTGAAGGCACAAGTCACAAACTTGGTCTGTAAGGTAAAATTTTGTGAGAAACAAAAATGGAGAATTTTGTTATTTCCTATCATCTTTATGCCTTACTATCAATTACAATTCTCATGTTGAAGTTCATTAATCCTTTTCAGAAAACATGAACAGATCATAACAATCAAAATAGTTTTTTGATAGTTTCATAGAACTGGAAGATCATTTCCTACTCGAAATTCAAGTGATATTTTCCTATACAATGGTTTTGTTAAACATACCATGAGCAAAGCCGCGCTACCGAATAGCCTTTTTCTGGCAGAATGGGCCACGGCGATGGAGAGAGCCTTGTAGAGATGAGCAAGAGCAGCAGCACCCCAAGCATATTCCTGTACCTTGTCAAAGTCTGACAGAAGTGGCAAATACTTTGGTGAGACATAGCCCCTGTCCCTCTCTGGAAGTAAGGCTGATCCAATCAAGAACAGGAGATATGCCCTGGTGCCATACATGGTCTGATCATTGGTGGGGCGTTCCGGGATCCGGCTAAACTTGGATTGCAGCCAAGAGAGCTTCACATGGCTGCCCCTGCAGTCCCTGCAATCAGGCACTTGCCCCAGATACTGGAAGCAGAGGTCTTCGACCGACTTGTTGAGCACAGCTCCGGTTGTCACCACACGGCCTGTCACCGGAATCCCCAGTATGTAGGCGGCGTCCCTGAGTGAGGGTGCCATTTCAAAGCCATTGAGCTGAGCAGTGTTGGTCTCCTTGCTCCACAGTTCGAAGAATGCCATGAGCGCGATGCGATCGATGACTAGGCCTGCTGTGTGTATCAGGTTGCCGAGCCCGCTTGCATCGACCAATTGTTGCTGCTGCTCATTCAGCTTCCATGTGTCGAGTCTCTCCGTCGTCTGGCATACGGTTAGTTCATGGGTTCCCTGTATGTTTGAGCATCAAAATGTTATGATTTAGGTACAAACTATATATCACAAGAGCCAAAGGAAGGTTCAGCAAATTGGTGTCGCTTGCTCGTTGTTGATAAATAATAATTACCTGAATGACGCTTTTGTTTGTTGGTTCTGCCTCTGCGGATTCCATCTGGTTCCATTAAGAGAAGGAATGTTATGTGGTAAGTGTGCATACAATCCAAGAATTGCTCGCAGAGAAATTTCAGTTTAAGCATCCAGGTTAAGTACGGCAAGAATTTGCATAAGTTTGATAACAACTTAACAAGTCCTCAATGAGCGGTCTATTGCTTATATGAGCAACTGAACATGTAATTGAGACTTTGTTCCCCTCAAGGAAATGAAAAAATTAACTAGCACAGAATCTGGAAACTTTGACATTGGTAATCAAAAGGACTGTATATATCAGGCATGATGATAATAAGGCTGGGAAAAACTGTAGATACCAGGTTTGATTCACTAAAGTTCACCAAAAAACTGTAGAAGTTTTTAAACAGATGACGTGAGCTCTACCCTTAAGAGGAAGAGAACTGCAACCACAAAGAGCAAAAGCACTAGGAACAACTGCTTTAAATTTTCTTCAGAATAAGGAGAAAGCAAAATGCCAGGATTGGCCACATACAAGGTACAAAAGGACAGCAGCAACCAGCCAAGAAACCATCAAAGTTTACCTGAACAAAAAAGATACGTTGTGAAACAGGAACTGAACTACTCATCTAATCAACTGTAAAAATAAAGAAACAAAATCTGGAGGAAAATTGAATCGAAATGACGTAGATGAAGTTGGTTGTGCGCCTAACAGCAGCCATTTCCATCATCTTAAAATATTGCAGCAGATGAGGAAGAATACCAGCACTAAATTAACGAGTATACACTTGATCAAGAAGATGGTATACCATTTTAATCATAGAAAACATCACACAAAAGAGGGGGAACAAAATATCGAAGAAATACATCCGATAACCATCCATTTCCTTCTAAAACTGACTAGGAAGAGCAAAATAAAATTGACCGCTATCCTCTAAAACCCAACCACAAATATGGAAATCGGGACAGAAAACAAAGGGGAAAGGAGAAAAAAAAAACTGAAGACCATAGATGAGATGGAACCCTTACACAGAAGCTGGAGACCATCCATAGCAGTTGAAAAATTCAGCAGGAAAACAGAAACACACACCCCACACAGGCGATTCCCAGTCATAAGCACAAGGATGAAATGATGAAAGAATACCAAAATGCAGGAGCAAACAAAGCGATCCGGGATTCACCATGAACGAAGGAGATGCAAGGAAAAAAAAATACTGGCATATCATATCACACGATGAGAGTGATAGAAAAGAGAGAGCAAACTAACCAGGATCAATGAGTAGCCGCAGCAGCGAGCGAGAGGCAACAAGAGCACAGCAAAGAAGGCGAAGAGCTTCTTCTATGCAGGCGAGCGTTGGTTGGGCAATGAAAGGGCAGGCGATGGCGATTGCCTTCGTGGTTGCCTTGCCTCCACCGCTGACGTGTGGGGCCCCCCGTGCCAGAGGTCGCTGCTAGGGCGAAACGTGGCGCTCTCATCACTGGTAGCTTTCCCATGTAGAATGATCACTGATCACATGGTAACACTGTCCTCGGCTAGCCACTGCCTCGCCAAATATGGCTATAGGAGCCTTCAATGGTGCACTGCCAGCATATCAATAAGCTGGTTTTAGGATCAACAGCAGCAGGAGTAGCTGGTGCAACAAACAATCCAAGCGTACAAGGCTGATGAATTGATGTGATAGCACAGTAGGCTCTCTACATCTCTACTTGGATCATTCTACAAGCAGTCAAAGCTTAGCATCATTATAAAATCACCAATTCACCATGTTGCAAGAGCTGCAGATTAAACGGGAGAGGGCACAATCCAGTTCACGAGCAACACAGTTAAAAGGGTCTTGGTGGCATCATCTACATTTTGCCCAACTACATGGTAGAGACTAGAGAGAGATAGTATTAACAAGGAGATAAAGCTTGCAAGCTCTGCGCAGTGAATGGCAAGGCGCTACCAGCAAAAAGTCTACGACGCTACATAAACCAGTTAACTGTCAGCAGCCCAAGTTTTTCTGCTACTTTGTACATAAACCATGGATGATCAGAGGAAGATCGGGTTGGTCGCCTCGGCTCCCACCCCGTCCCTGTGCTTGAACATTTTCAGCTGCACACAGAGACGCCCGCTCCTTCGGAGGTTCTCGGTGTCCCTGGGGAGCCGGATTTCGTCGCGGTCTTGCTGCCTCCGCTTCCTTGATTCCGGCGAGCTCGAGTCCAGCGAGGAACAGGACGGCGTCGTCAGGTGGGAGTTCTGCCAGAGGTCCATGACCCCTTGTTCCTTGAACTCCTCCGCTCCATCGAGCAGAGGGACGGTGCCATCCAGAACCATGTCGCACTTGCTATCCTGATAAGGTATCAGCACGGCTGGGAATCGGTCCGCCCTTGAGTTCGGAGGGCTTGAAGGATCTTGAAAGAATGACGGCTTCCCCCTCTTTCTTGGGTTCTTTGACCTGACATTGCTGTCCTGGCCCTGCCCTGCTTGATCTTTCTTTCGGCTACTCTGTGGTGGGGAGTAACTCTTGATCATCATACCCACTCTCTCTAGAAAGCTTGCAACTTCCACAGGGAGTAACTGTCCCTCCAGGTAACGATCAATTACTGGAAAATCATTCCTCAGATCTTCAACCTGCATCTCACAAACAGCAATTACAATAAGGACCACTATGCAAGCAAAAACATATGAAGGATTAGCTTCTTATTTGTAGCTTACCATTGAAGAGAAGTTCTGAGATGTGCTCCGACTACATCCTGCAGCATCTTGTTTAGTTATAGACTCAATTGGGAGGGAGTTGATATTGGTTTCTGCAGGAGTGAAACGACAGCCAACCAATTGATGGAACTCCTCGATTTCACGAGCATACTCAACCCTCCAGTCCTTCCACTTGCTCCAAGTTCTTCTTGCCCACATGGGCACCCCATGGAGGCGACCTTGTTCCCTCCCAAACTGCCTAGAAAACCGATCAGGTACATACACCTCTTTTATGTTAAAGCTGATTAGCCATGTCCGAGAATAGCAGATGTTATCTGCTGCAATGCAATATTCTGGAATAATTGCAGGATTCATGTCCTTGTAAGGATTCCAGTTGACCTGAAAATATAATTAATTAATATAAAATAACACAACAGCAGTTAAAATCTTTGTTATAAATCTATAAAATAGGTAGACTTGCACTTGCATCAGAAAATTGAAGCTCATCGAAAACTTTTCTCCATTCCATGACTTTCTTTCTCTGTCCACGCGTTGCTCCTCCAAAGTTCCATCGACAGGCCCGGGGCAGCAAGGTGTTCTGATTCTTTTGTTGGGGTTGAGTTAATGGAAGATATTCATAAATCCAAGCCTTGAGAGAACAAAATAAATCTCATTAACAAAGATACCAAATATCATCGACAATCATTCAAATTTATTCAAACAAGAACAGTACCATGAGCAAAGTTGCACTGCCGAGAAACTGGGTAGTAGCATTCGGTGTTACAGCAACAGATAGTCCTCTGTACAAATGAGCAAGGGCTGCAGATCCCCAGGCATATTCACGTATCTTTCTAAAATCAGCCAGAAGAGGTAAATATCTTGGTGATACAAATCCCCTCATCGTGTCAGGAAATAAGGTGGAGCCAACAAGGTAAAGAAGGTATGCCCGGGTGCTGTAAGCAATCTCGTTGATAGTTGGATTTTCTGGCAATTGATGAAATTTCCTGTACAACCATGTCAATCTGATTAAGCCACACAGTTGCTCTCCATTTCCAGGGCTCTCTCCTAAGAAATGCAAACACATCCGCCTCACAGCTTCATCACCAATTGGCTCAGCAGTCACCACATGACCAGTCACTGGAATTCCAAGAATATATGAAACATCACGGAGTGATGGGGCCATTTCAAATCCCATGAAATGTGCAGTATTTGTTTCATTGTTCCATCTCTCACAAAAGGCTGTAAGCAAAGAACGATCAATAGTAAATCCTGTGGTGAGGGCAAGATGTCCAAGACCACTAGCATTAACTAGTTGTTGCTGTTCGTCAGTTAGAACCCATTCTTTTAGCTTCCGTGTCTGCTGGCTGGGAAGCAGAACACCATATCGCTGTGGAAAATTGAGTGTCTGCATGTAATTTTGTTCACGATGGCCAAGTGAAAACAAAGGGAGAAGCAGCTACATACCGTCCAGATTTGTGAGCTTCCAACCGGTCTCCGTCCACTTGGTTTTTGTTGTTGTGTTACCACACCTTGAGATGCAAGGTCCATTTCTCCTGGAAAACATAAGAGGGACAATAAGGTAATTGTTCTATGATGCTTGGTCCATTGTTAAACAAAAAAGGAAAAAAAGAAAAAGGGCAGTTGTAACTTGTGTGGATAATACTTAATAAAACAGTGTGTAAAAAAGGAACTATCAACACAACCAGAACAACAAAGTCCATAAATAATGAAGCAAAAACAAAAAAGTGCTCTCTCATACTTGTTTACGATATCAGTGATAGCTGATGATAAGTAAATTCACGCACACCATTTATGACCAATTATTTTGACAAGTTCAATTTTTTACTATATTTTGCTAAGATAATGATAGTTGTCAGCACAAAGAGAGTCAAGAGCAAACGAATTCAGGTAGTCTGTTGAATTATTTTTCTGCTTACTGCCAATCTAATAGCTGGATATAAGAACTAACCACACAAAAGTGTGCAGTATCTCTTGTAATAAAGAGATAGCCGGATTCTTCATGCAATTTGCAGGGCTAGATTATAGTCTATTGAAAGTAGAAATGCATTTGCTATATAACTCTTAGGTTTATTTCTAGAAACACAATTGTAACTTTCATACAGGTATAGTAAAGAAAGCTCTAAAATATATCCAATAAATCTTCACCATTATAATCTGAGCTCATCCTGATGAACAGTGACGATATTTCTCCTTTTATTTGATAACGTTGTAATTTCTAGCCCTTGATAGAGAATATGGTGGCTTCTGTTCAGCCTGTTCTAATAGTAAATAAATGCTAGTGGTAGTCTGGTGGATAAGAATGTCGTGATGCTCACATCAAAGAAAAAAGGGGGATGCCGTGATGCTTGAAAAAATAGCATGTGAGGGCAGTTCTATGTACCTCAACTGTCGGCAAATGAAGATCATGTAGTAAAATAGGAAGCCATGCACTAAATCATACTACATTATGGTGATATTTCCATGTAATAATGACAAAATGCAAGAGTATATAGTAAGGTCGATCGCTTAACACAAGGAAAGGGGTAAAAAAAGGAAAGCAGGAAAAACAAATATCATCCATTTCTAGTGTTTCCTTTTTACATTCTTCAGTATTGTACTCTTATTATTTTATTAAGAAATGTAAACAGTGGCAGAGAGGTTTTGACAGAGTCATTGGCTTATGAATTTTACCCCTAAGTAATTGATAGTTGAGATCTACCAATGCTAATCCCTTCTCATCCTAATATCTGTCTAGCTATCCAGCAAATAAATTAGAAAAAAATATTCTAACTATTTATTTTCAATAAATGTTCCAGGATACACTTTAAAAAAATAGCTCCAGTTGTTATTAAGTGTGTATGGATTTCAGTTCAGTTCAGTGTGGGGTACATGGTACCCAGATACCCATAGCAAGGCGTTTTGGGCCATGCGGCATGAGGTGGGCCGAGTGCCCTAGGCCCACATGGTTAACTTGTAAACTAAGAAAGAGATAAGGGATAAGTTGGCCAATCCTATCCCTTGTAAATAGATGGTAGGTACCCGGATTATGAAGGCTACACTACCATATCTAGCCGGTTGCCTCCGCACCTATATAAGGAGCACCGGGAAACCCTCATTCTTCCATAAGCGCCACGTGCTATTCCTACGCCGTGCTGCGCACTCCAATACAGATCTAATCCACTCATCTGGACTAGGGTATTATCTCACGTCGAGGGTCTGAACCAGTATAAACAATTGTCTCCATCTCTCCTAGATCTAGTGCACCCTATAAATTATATTGCCGATCATAAGAATCGACATTCGGCTTTACAGCTTCAGCCTTATGAAAAATCACCGTGTAAAGATAGCACACAAAATCTCAAACAGTCCAGCACAAAGCCCACATTTTCAGACCATTGAAAAACCAAGAGAAGACCCGCACATTCAAGCATAACCACAACCAGAAAAACATCCGATCTTAGCCCCATCATGATGCTCCAGCACAATGAAAAGAGAAAAAAAAAGGAACCACTCTACTTCCATGAAAGTTTATCCCATGGCACTCTATTAATCGCTGCCACACATTCAGTGATCGAAATTAACAACAATCTATACCCTCAAGGCCACAACATATCCAGAAAAAAAACAGTACTAAGAACAGATGCTATGTGCTAAACGCACGCTAATTTCCCACAGCATTTCATTGCACTCCCCCAAGCCATCTACCACGGGCCACGTACTACGAAATGCTAAAAGAAAAAAAAAACCTAGACCATGGAACTCGCACAGATGCACCAAAACCGCTGGATGGATGGATCAAGAACCACCACCACCAACCCACCCACCAAGAACCGAAACGGGTTACAGGTACCCCTGATCTGAGATTGCAGGCCCTCCTCCGCTACTGTAGCGACGGAACGAGGCGTAGGAAGTGCGGGAGGAGCAGCCGGTCACCTTACTCGCCGGGGAAACGCGCCGCCGCCGCCGCCACCGCCGCCGACCTCCGCTTCGGAGCGGAGGAGAGGTTGGAGAAAGCGAGCAAAATCTTCGGGAGGGGAAGGAAGAAAGAAAGAAAGAGAGAGAGAAAAGCTTATCGAGTGCGCCCCCCACCCTCCCTCTGCCAGGTGGGCCCCACACCTCTCCCCCGCAACCCCCATGTGGGCCCCGCGCGTCAGCGTCCCGAGCACCCCGCGGAGCCAGCCAGCCAGACGGTTCGAGCCGGACCGGGTCAAGGGCTTCCTCTTTCCTCTTCCGAGTTCCGACCCCGTCGCGTTAAAACCCTAGCCACCACAACCACGCACTCCTCTTTTTTTTTTCCCCTTCCCCACCACCACCACCGCCTCTCTCGCCGGCGAAGAGAAGGGGGAAGCGCGGCTGCGGCGGCGGCGGCGGCGCGCGGCGGAGGTAGGGCTTGAGGTCCTGAGGTCTCTCCTCCGTCTCGATCTGCCTCCTAACCCCGAAGCGAGAGGGATTTTGCGCGGGGAGGGTGGGGGTCCGTACAGCCCGGCCGCCGTATCCCGGGGTGGCGCTGAGGCTGCCATCAGGTTGGTTCGCTACTCGTTTCCTTGTCCTCGTTCCGCTAGGCAATTTCGGTGTGGTGGTGGTTTCGTGGAGTGGGGTTGGGGGGGGGGGGGTCTGATTCAATTTCTAGGGTTTCGAGCGAACAGGTCGCCTTATCATGAAACGGTTTCGTCGATTGGGGTTGGGATTATTGCGATTGGTACTGCGTAGGTGAGTTTATGGGGATTGCTTATCGAGCTTCGTCTTCCACGGGTAGAGATCCGGTGGAGATTTCCGGCGGGCCTGTAGCTCAGAGGATTAGAGCACGTGGCTACGAGACCACGGTGTCGGGGGTTCGAATCCCTCCTCGCCCACAGACTTCCAAAGGGGAATCGGGACTTGTAGGGTTAGGGGGGGATAAATTGGGGCTTCTAGGGTTTGGTCGCGAACTCACGATATTTGCTAGTGTTATGCTGATGTGTGTCTCTCTGCTCTGCTCTCTAGCTGCTAGGTTAATCGAGATTAATTCTGTATGTATGGATGCTCACCCTAGCTAACGGTTGTTGGTGCATCAAAAATAGAAACCAAAAGTGGAAACTGATCTTTTTGTTGTGAGTTATAGCCATTAATTGCTTCTGTTACTGTCCACATTTAAGTGCCTCCATGTTTTTTGTAAAGCCTCCATATTATTACACATGTATCACCATAAAAATGGAAATGAAGGTATCTTGGTAGTTACCTACCTACCATAGAATAAATCAAGTTTACACCGTAAGCATATACTCCCTCCATCCCATTATATAGGGCGTACCTGCTCTAGACGCACAGACCAAGGATTTTCAACTGTTCCGTTCGCCCCGATACGTGAAGTTTTGCTTCATCCGTGGACCTTGATCTTCACAGTGTGTATCCCAGCAGGCCACGCCCACGTATTGCTGGGAGAGAGAGGCCTTTTAACTAAGAGCAGGTACAATAGCAGGCTATAAGCCAGCTATAAACATATTTTAAGGAGATAAAAGAGGAGAGAGAAGAGCAGCGAGCTACAGATTTGTAGCCAGCTGTAGCACGGACTCCAAGACGCAGTGTGTATGACAAGTAGGACCATATATTAATAGTGTAGTATGTAACTATTGTACGAATTGGCTATTAAATTGACTATAGATGATTTGGAGCTAGTAGTTGGCTATACTATTAAACTTGCTCTAAGAGCACCCGCAATGGTAAAGTAAGGTGCTATCTATAAAACATGTACATCTCAGCAATAGACTAGAATAATAGTAAACCATCTCAATAGTATGTCTACATGGGTATCTATAGCTCTCTAATACATTGCCTCGTTTTTCTCTATAGACTATCTCCAGGTTAGTAGATAGCTTTGCTCTCTCTCTTCATTTAATCTCTTCTAAGTAGGAAAATATGCTGACATGGATCTCTTATAGAGAGCCTATAGATAACCATTGTGGGTGCCCTAAGCAAACTAATCAGCAATAATGCATGCTTGTAAACGGAAGCCGAGGAGGTGATGTCTTGAATGCTTGCATGCATATGAATGGAAACGAGCAAAACTTAAATGCTTGCATGCGAATAAACGGCTGTCGAGGAGATGCCGTCTTATATTGTGGGATTTGAGTAAAATACAGGTACACCCTATATATTGGGGTGGAGGGAGTGGTGCTGAGCAAGAAAAAAAGAGATTGCTTTCTCTCATAGCTTTACTTGATTGTTCCTGTTCCTGTTCCTGTTCCTATTTTTTCTTTTTCTGAAAAAAATGAATTTTAGAATTAGCATGCAATATTTTCATTGCACGAGAAAAATAATAGGTGCTTAGTTCTTTGTCATCGGTTCATGCATGCCACATGACACCTCTTATCTTGCTGTATCTATATCTGCCCATGATGTGCTAGTTTGTGGTACTAGAACTAAGTTCAAGCATACATCTTTTAGGGTATGTTTGGATCCTAGGCAAGAGAAATCTTATCCTAGCTTAGCAAGGACAGCAGTTTGCTAACGACAATAAAAATCTTACTTCTGTGGGAAAGCTTGCCTATAACTGCCCAGGAAAGCTTGCCCAGCTTGAAGGACATAAGGCACTTCTGTGTGACAGTTGATGCATGCTAGGCTACAAAGCCAAATGTTGTGCTTAGTTTCTTTGAGCTATGGCATTGCTGGGCCAATTTGTGCTGGATATGTGATGCGAACTGATAATAAGATATAAACCTACCCTTAGTTTCGAGCTGTGTTGTTTCAATTAAAAGCACTGGTTGATCTGCCAGCCGGCAATCCTTGGTTGTCTGCCTGCGCCTGTAGGTGAACCATCAGCAAACCTTTTTGTGAGTTGAAGATAGTATTTTTCGGTAGCCTTTGCTAGACTTAACAAAGCTAAAAACAGGATTCCTCAACTGATCAAGAATTACATTTATGCCCAATATTGAGTTCACACCATGAGTTTCATTCACAAAGGATCCCTTGCTGCCCGCCTGCCATGCACTCCTCTAACCACATGTCAATATATTATTATTCCTTATTACAATACCCTAATTACTCGAATAAAGTAAAAAAAAAAAGAACAAAGGAGCGAAGTATAGTGTAGTTACTCCTTCCCCACCGAACATATCTCGTTCCAATCTTCTATATCTACTTCCCTCCTGCTCACGTACAACAATTCCACCACCAAATCTGTCAACCATGATGGCGTACCTCGCCACCGGCGACCACTAGAGGCCTCTGTACTTGGGTTTTTGATTTTAGGCAGTTCCATGACGTGTCTTAAAAAAGAGTTGAGTTGATCTGGTGTTGTCCCCCACCAAGACCAGAACCGCCAGCACGCTGTTGGTTTGCCCAGTTTCGCTGCATCCCTTGCCTCTGCGCTGATGATGCAGGCAGATCAACTGCTTCCTATAACGTCTTGGCCCATGCATTGTTATCATCGAATGGCCTTGGCACAGCCAACATTGACACTTACCCAGCGCTGTGGGCCTGCGAGATATGGTGAGAGGTATCGGTGTCCGATGTCTGTTAGGCAGGAGCGGATGTGTGGTGAATATTGACACGTGAAAAAAAATTAATAAGCAAGTCATATCTGGTTGCATGTATGAGAAGTTTAATGTTTTTGCCAGATTCTATGCAATTTTGTTTGAATAATACTCTCGAATAATTATGTACAATTGAACACCTCCTGTTAATTAATTGTACATAAGCAATTCTCATTATTTCTATGTTCTGTTCCTGTTTGTGTTTACTATTTTATTCTGGCATGTTAAACAGCTTGCCTCTATCTGAATCTTCTGGCCCTGAAAAGAAGCTAAAATTATTTTTCTTTGTCAAGACCAAAAAGTATTTATTCAAACCAAACACTATGACCACACAAGCTTGTAAGAAGAGAAGAGCAGTTTATATAAGCAGTGAATCAGAAGACTCTGGTACAGACTCTGAGGTTGAGGGAAGCAAACTCTCCAAAAAAGATGGGGTCACGTCAGTCTATACATGTGGTCACCAGCCAACCTCTAAGAATAAGGTTGATCCGATGAATACTAGCAAGTCAAGGCAGTGTGGAAGTATTCTGAAGAAGCTCATGGATCACAAAAGTGGATGGATTTTTAATACACCAGTTGATCCAGTGGTATATGGAATTCCTGATTACTTTGATGTTATTCGCAATCCGATGGACTTGGGTACTGTTAAAAGGAAACTCACAAGCAAGCAATATTCCAACCCTTATGAGTTTGCAGCAGATGTGAGGCTAACATTCTCGAATGCGATGAAGTATAATCCTCCAGGAAATGATGTCCACGGAATAGCTGATCAATTGAACAAAATATTTGATTCGGAATGGAAATTATTGGAAAGGAAATGGAAAGACAGAAATTTGGTACAAGAGCAGCCATCACTGAAGGTATTAAAGGCTCAGCCTGCTGTTACCCCAAAACCTGTGCTACCTAAGGGGGTGACTGCAGGCACAAATTCAGCTGTGAGCAAGACACTGGCAACTGCATTATCCTCCAAAGTATGATCACAGTCATGTACCCTCATTCAGTGATTTTTCTTCTTGGGACTTTGATCAAAGTACTGCTCTCTTTGCAGGTAAAAATTAAATTTTCTGTGCGAGGCTCTGAGCTGACCTCTTCCAAAGGTGTGAATAGAATAAACTCTATGCATACAATCTTTCCATTGTTGATTGTATTTGACAGCCATTACCAATGCTTTTCAATTCAGACACGCCTTTGCAAGCAGTTGGCAGAAGAGACGGCACAATTAACCAATCTCTCCCTTGCACCAAGGTTTTGGGCACGAGCTCCTTTGTTTATACTTGAGTATTCTTATCTGAGTCTTGGTATCATTAGCTAAACAATTGTGTGATCCCCCTCTTGTCTTGTCTTTTATTTTTAGGACAATGCTAAGACACCAAGGATACAATCAAGTGAGGACAGATCTGAATCAACTGGTATGTTTATGATTTCCACGTAATTTTATCCCATACTGTTTTATTTTACTAAAGCACTCAATTATTATCTTAGGAAATGAATTGCGGCCTTGCGATGATGCTTCTACTTCACCTCTTGCTTCTTCCAGACAAGGTTGGACATGCTATCTATTTATCCATCTATTTGTGCATGTTAATTTGCATACTAGTATCTCTGTTCTCAAAAGGATGATGTCCTAGATTCATTGCAAACACAGTCAAACCTCAAAAATCTTAAATCATTAATAAATGAAAAAATACCAGGATTTAAAAATCATATTAGTAGATTTGTGAGGAAAAACTGTCATATGGTTATATTTTAAATATTGTTCCCATACTATCATAAAAATACAAACTGATTCCATTTGTCATCCTTGAGTTTTCGGCCATGGCGCAATTCTGTCGATTTCCTGCACGTGATTTTTCGGTCGTCTCATCATTGTTTGTTTTTCATCTGAGTCCTGTGCACACTGTGGTCCGTTGTCTGCATCCGAGACCCACTCACATCCGTTGTCCAACGTCCCACGCATGACCCTGCCTCACCTTGGCCACATGCACCCCTCTTCCGTGTGCCCATGGTGCTCCCCTCCTGATCCATCCTTTCCTTTCGTCCATCTCCCTCTTCCTATGCTGCGAGAAGCAGAGCTGCCACAAGCAGAGGCAAAGCACAGAGCGTGATTCACTTAGCTAAGCTGAACATGATCCCTTAATTTTTCTCCATCAGATAAGCATCGAGAAGAAGTGGAACAAATTTCTGGATTGATTCATTGTTTATGTGAGTAGTTCTCAAGTCTGGTTTAGTTACATTACGTAAATGTTTCTGATCCACACCCTTCTTTTCGTAGGACGATGAAAAAGAATGGATAAAGATCCCAAGAATACATAGTTTGATCTGAATACTCATACCTTGAGAATAGCACATCTACAAGTAGGATTTCCTCTGTGATCGTACCAAAACATGAGTTCCATTTGGATTTTCTTTTTTATCATTGGATTTCTTCAATGCTATAGTGTCATTCTTCTGGCGCTTAATGCTATCTATTCCCAATTACAATTGTGTACAGCCCTACACCCGTTGCAATGCACGGTCATTTTGCTAGTAAATATATAACTTGAGAAAGTAATGATAAAACATGTGCATTGGAGACTGCCGATGTCCTAAATGACAACCATTTGAGAACAGAGGGTAGTAACTTTATCATCTATTCTTTCCATATGTTCCTTTGCTAATATATTGCATCTTATGATGTGAATTTTCAGAAGAGGAATATTTGCCTGAAGAACCTTTATCACCAAGCAAGGCTCTTCGTGCAGCAATGCTCAAGAGTCGTTTTGCTGGTACAATTGTCAAGGCGCAGCAGAAAGCACTTCTGGATCATGTATTATTTCTGAAATGTGTACTGAAATTTGTAGATTTCAATTAGGCTATTCCTTCGCATAGGACAAGTTCTAGTCTACGTCTGTGTAGCTCTTGCTGATGTGCTTTTTTAATCTCCTAGGGGAAGAAAATAGACCCTGCGAAATTGCAGTTAGAAAAGGAGAGGCTGGAAAAAAGGCAGCAAGAAGGTAAGAATTTGCTTAGCCTTTGATAGCAGATGGCATGGAGCTGTTTGATTGGCAATACATTTTTTCTTTAAGTTCATCAAGCATTTTGATATTTTATATTCGCATAGAGTTCTCATCTGGACTTAATATGGGATGGCTGCTCTTTGTGAAAGAACTTTTAGAACACATTACGGTGAAACTTGATTGACATCTCAGGCTTCGAGAAACTTTGGGATCAAAACAGTCCGTCGAGAGACTTTGGGGAACATAACCCCGGTACATGCTAGAGAATTGTTTGAACAGTACAGTGTCCCACATAGACAAGTTTGTTAGTAGGTAGAAATTTTATAGCAAGGCATCATCAAGAGTCGTTTTTTAACAAGTCGATCAGGCTTCCGACCATTTTTTTGTTCCTTGAAGCAAATAAACTTAAGATTTGGATATATAGAATAAGAAAAAAGAGTAATCTTTTTACCAGTTGTCCCCACATAGACCACAGGTTGGCTAATTCAATACACTGCTTCATAGTAACTTTTTGAGTCAATTCATATACTTTCACGCTGTGAATACTCCTGGTCACATCGGATCTATATCTATTTTGGCCAAACGTAATCTTGTTTCAATATATCAAAACTGTAGTAATTTTGTTATGAAAAGCATGTCCATGATATTCCACATTATCACATTGTTGGAAAGTCTAAAAACAACTTTATTTTGTTGGAAAGTCTAAATTTACTTTGAAGTGTAAAAGGTGGCATGTTTTCTCTGATGGGGGAATGGGTTTCCTTTAAAATGGGAACGAATGCTCATAACTATAGTGGTAACTATATATTGTATGTATTATTCTTAGGTTATACTTTTATTTTGTATTGGCACGCATGATTTCAGTTGCATGGCTTTCTTTTCAATTTACCCATAATGCAGAGAAAGCAAGAATTGAGGCCCAGGTGAAGGCGGCTGAAGCTGCTGCACAATTAAAGCTAGACGAAGAAATGAGGATGAAGAGGGAGCAGGAAAGACGAGCAGCACGCCTGGCACTACACATGGTATTACATGCTGCCATTTTCTGACCAACTAGTTTGTATGCTTAATGTTGCACGGTGATTACTCAATCTCTTCTCCTACGCAGATGAAGAAGACTGTTGATATTGACAACAGTGACTTCCTTAAGGACCTGGAAAACTTAAGCAAAAAGTGGGAGCTGAATCCCCCTGGCAAACTTATTGTTGATTTTGTCGACGGGATCGATCTACCACCTGGCTTAGGGAGTCCGCTAGAGAGGCTTGGCCTTTTCATGAAGAAGGATCTTGAGGAAGAGGTCGAACATGAAATGGAGGACAGTGTATCACCATCTACGGAGATCGACGTGGAGGAAGGAGAGATCAGCTTCTGTCAATAGCACGGCTCTAAAATATCCATTGTTTCTTCCTTTTTTTCTTTCCCCCCATCAGACTCTGAAGCAACATGCTCGCATGGCTTATAAAATTGTGCGCGAGTGCTGTGTTATTTATTCTGCCTCAAGACAACATCATAACATAAGCCGAGTAAAATGAAGCGTTGGTTCATCTAGTTTGTGTTGTCTAACCAGAAAACAAAAATGTCAGCTGAACACTGAAGTGGAGTTATCGGTTGCGTGGACTTCGCCCCGATTTTGTCGGTTCTGTGAAACCCTGTATGTTGTAGGTGTTCCACGTATGCAATTCTGTAAAAAAAGGAAAATAAAAAAAAAGTTGTATGTAATGTGATGTTAGACTGTTAGTATATAATAATATTATAGTTACTGATGAGTGTAGATGTTTGCTATTGCTGGTAGTCGCCTCTTGCTCTCAGCAGTCTACTCGTTACCGTGTGTTGATGTTGTGACCTTGTGATGCTGTTCCAGTTGAAACCCTCAGCGGGCAGATCCCTTCAAGCACGGCTCAATTGGATCAGCAAATCAATTAGAGTAGATATGTGTTGCTGATGATCAGCAAATCAATTAGAGTAGATATGTGTTGATGTTCTTTTCTCAACAAAGTGGCCGTAGTTTAGTGGCTCAATTGGATCAGCAAATCAATTGGAGTAGATATGGGTTGCTGATGATGTTCTTTTCTCAACAAAGTGGCTGAGTAGATATGTGTTGCTGATGATGCTCGTTTCTCAACAAAGTGGCTGTAGTTTAGTGGTGAGAATTCCACGTTGTGGCCGTGGAGACCTGGGCTCGAATCCCAGCAGCCACATTTATAAATTTTGCTTTTCAATTTTATTTCAGTTTTGGAATTCTAATATTCGTATTTTTCATCTCAGTCTCTTTTAACAAAATTCCACTACATCTATCGCATAATAATTGTATTTCTATGATTTAAATGTCCCCAAATAATTATCCAATAGAGTACTAATGTCATTTCAATTTTGGAATTCTAATATTCGTATTTTTCATCTGTCTCTTTTAATAAAAAAAATTACTATACATCTATCCCATAATAATTGTATTTTTAGGATTTAAATTTATCCCCAAATAATTATCCAATAGAGTACTAATGATTCCATTCATTACTTCCCTTCCATTCTGACCTATACACTATTTAATAAGAGGCATTATGGTTTTTCTTCTCAAACCTTAACACTAACAACCTAGAATTATAATTTTTTTTGGACGGAGATAGTATTACTTTATTTTTTCCGTCTATTTTCTATTGATATAATTTTTAATTAGATTTAATGGTATTATAACTTTTATGGTTTTAAAATATATTATTAGTATTCACCTATTTAAAGCTGCGTGCCATTATAATTTCAAGACCATTGAATACCATGCCAATATAAAACAAGCAGGTCTATAATGTGCGTTGAATTTCTCCCGTGGAATACGCTGTTTTGACAATAGTACGTTACTCCTGTAAAGTTCAGAATGAAAGGTGGATATCCCTGTAAGCAAATATTAGCATGATACTTCATTTTAACAACGCAAAAGAACCATAAACAAGGATAACAGTCTTCGTTTCAACAACACAGAAGACAAGGATCATTACAGCATTGCAGACTTGCCAAATGTGGCGTAATCGTTACATTCATCCATGTGTTATACATGCAGAATGGTACATACTACAATAGCTCAGGAGTCAGCGTAGCTGTATTTGTACAAGAGCCCTCGATATAACAAAATCACAGTACATTGAATACTTTCATCAAGTTTTCTCATCTATAGACCCATCCTTTTGGGCCTCAAGTATGTCGAGCCTTTCTTCAAGCCCGGCATAGAAACTTGCTGCTGCTGCTTAGCTCTCTTCTCTCGCTCCCTCTCCTTCTCAAGCCGTGCGGCCTCGGCTTGTTCTTGCCTCAGCTTCTCCATCTCCTCCTCCATCGCGGTCTTGTCCTCCTTCTGCCTCTTCTTATGGTCGAGGAGCGAGGTGTCGGTTTCCTTAACAGAGAAGAACATAGGGCCCAACTCTGCCAGCCACTGCGGGTCAACAGCGGTGACGCACTGCATGTACTCTTTGGTCGTCAGGACAAGCTCATGGTAGACAACATAGTCAGGGGTGTAACCAAGGCCGTAGAGTGCACTGCTGGGGTGGAGGTGGCATGGCATCCCGTTCCGGCAGTTCACATACTCCCCGACACCCTTCAACCTCGCGGCATTATGGAAGTATGCAGAGCAGATGGCTTTTCTCACCACATCCCATTCCATATGGCATGATGTCAGTGGGATCTTCAGGGTTTTCAGTATGTCCAATAGCTGTGACCTTACTTCTCGAGCCTTTCGGAGACCCTTGACATGGAGGAAGTGGTCATTACACCAGTCTCCACGATATTGGTTCGACTTCCATTGCAGGTAGACATTCAGAAGAGTTAAATGATCAGATTCTGGAACAAAAAATTTCTCCCTTGCTGCATCACTCTCCTCTGCTCGATCTTTGGGACGAAAGAAGACTGAGGGCACCGAGAGCATTGACACAATGGTCAGTACTTCATCAAGGCACTCCAGCTGTTCTCCCATGAGAAGCATCTTTGCTAGAGTTGGGTCCAACGGGAATTCAACCATCTTCCAACCTATTACTGTAAGAGCACCAACATTGTTCAAGGCACCCAACACCCAGAGCTGGTACATGGAGTTGAGGATGTTCTCCTGCGGGGGTGGGTCCATGAAGTCAAAGTCAAGCAAGTTTTCGACTTTCAGAGATTTCAGTAGCAGAACCACATTCCCCAGATTGGTCCTTTGGATCTCAGGCACTGGGTTAGGTAGCATCTCATTCTGGTAAGCTGATTCTGTGAACAGTCTGTAGCATGTGCCAGGACCAGTTCTTCCTGCACGTCCTGCACGCTGATCTGCAGCTGCTCGACTAACTGGAAAAACCTGAAGAGCATCCATACCCATCCGTGGATTGTACACCTTCATCTTTCCATACCCAGTATCAATGACATAAAAAATACCATCCACAGTGAGCGAGGTCTCAGCAATGTTGGTAGCAACAATGCATTTGCGAGTGCCCTCTTCTGCCTTCTGAAAGATTTTGGCCTGCAGGTCAGCAGGCAACTGCGAGTAGATGGGCAAGATGGAGAGCTTGGGTACAGTCTTGGTGGATGATGATATCAGCTGCTCCAGGCGCTCAGCAAGCGCATAGCAGGTAGCCTCAATTTCCTCTTGCCCTGTCATAAATATAAGTATATCCCCAGGGCCACTGGTTATGTGGATTGTCATAGCCTGCTTCACTGCCGCTTCCACATAGTCTTCACATGGTGTTTTGCTGAACATGATATTTACAGGAAATGTCCTGCCAGGAATATGGAAGACAGGCACTCTGCGGATAAAGAAATGTTACAAGATTAGCAAAATAGAAAATGGATTCAAATCTTACTAGGAAAAAGAAACAGAGCAAGTTATCTTACCCTCCAAAAAATTTTGAGAATTTGTCCGCATTTAGGGTTGCAGATGTGACAATTAGCTTAAAATCTCGTCGACGTGCAACAACCTTCTTCAGTATGCCAAACAAAACATCAGTATTGAGTGATCTCTCATGTGCTTCATCCATGACAATAACACTAAAAAAAGTAAGGAAAGGTGCTTTAGCATTTGGGAAGCAGTATTTTGATACTGTATTTAGTTCTATCAACGGTAAGAGAGCTATCAGCATACCGATATTTGTCAAGGTCAGCATCTTTCAAGGTTTCCCGAAGCAGCACTCCATCTGTCATATACTGCCCAAAAAAAATCCCAAACAGAAGCAGAAACCATGTTAGATCTCCATTACTACAACAAAGCATCAATCAATTTTTTTAATTTCCTAAATGGCATAACATTGTTCTGGCATGAAGTGTGTTGTGTTCATTTGATGTAAAATTCATAATGCTAACAACCTAATAGCTAATGCTGCACCCAAACTAGGCTACTAACCTAAGCATATTCTAGTTTTAGGAAACTTCCTACTACCAAGTGAAAAGACAAGTCATCAACCAAGGAGTATCAAAACACAAGAAGCAATATACCTTTATTATAGTGTTGGGACTAGTCATGTCCTCAAATCGAATTGCATATCCAACTTTATGTCCCAACTCAGTCTCCATTTCTTCACTAACTCTTTTAGCAACACTCATGGCAGCCACACGTCTAGGTTGAGTACAGCCAACAATGCCGGTGGTGGTATATCCATCCTCATGCAGATACTGAGTCAGCTGGGTAGTCTTCCCAGAGCCAGTTTCACCAACCACCACAACTACTTGATTTTCACGCACAACCTGCTCAATGAAATCAAAACAAGGTAATCAAGAACTTGTACCACTGCATCCTTTTGAAAGAAACTAAAAATCAACATCTTCCAAAGGAAACTTGATTTTCAAATTAATTACAATTTTCTGAAGGGCAAGAATTATTATCTTGACCTTTCTCCTTGAGGATAGCTGCATAGGTGTACTACAATCATCAAAACCATATTCAAAATATTCTACCGATTTGTTTTTGAATAATTTACACTATAGAAAAGCAACATACCTCAAACATAACAAATGCTGTAAACTAGCATAGGAAAACAAAATGAAAACTGCAAATAAAATACTGAAAATGAGTTTATAAACTTTAGTTACAAACCTGTAGCAAGTCATCCCGTACAGTAAATATCGGAAGATATTGCCTCTGTTGAGAAAGAGATTTTGATTTTGCAAAGTCGCTAACAGCTTCTGCTTTTACCTTCATGTGCTGTGAAAATTTTGCTTCCTCTTTAAAATCAATCTCACCTTGGTCACCAACAGTAGCAGTATCTGCATCAACCTGATTTTTCAAAAAAAAAATAAGTAAAGCGTACCAGCTAAACACTATTAGGACTATATATATTATGGCAAATAATCTACCTGTTCAGCCGTTTTCTCAACACCCAAAATATTTCCAAGCTTAGATCCAGCGAGCTCCCAAAAGCGTTGGCGTGACTTATTCATGCTCTGTTTTTCACGAATTTCCCTGACCAAAGCAGAACCTTTGCGTGCAACTATTGCCATATCGGAGGTTGGGTCCTTCAGTGGCATTACAGGTTCTGCTTGTTTTGTGAATACAACTCGCCCATCCAGGAATGGGGGTTTTGTGTCTGCAAAAAATTATACCGTCAGCATTTTTAAGTTCAACAGCATCAATATATTGTAAACAAGTAGTAGTAAAAAAACTTTGTGAAACAAGTATGCAGCACGCTAGGTAATGTTCTATTCTCTTCAAAATTCGATACAATGTAGCATGTACAACAGAGAAAACAGAGAACATAGATAACTCCTAATGCAGGTTAGAAGTTTCAGACTGACATAGACAGGAAAGGTGGAAATATGTGCC